CGGGGGCTCCGGGCGGGCGGGCAGGGGCGCGGGGGGTCCCGAGCCTGGGCGCCGTGCGGGGCCGGTGCGGGGGTGCGGCGGGGCCCGACCGTAGCCCCACCGGCCCCGTCCCGGTGCCGCGCGGCTCTCCCCGGGGTTCACGATATCCCGCTCTCCCAGCGTCCCATGACATCCTGGTGCTCCATGACACCCCCCCTCTCTCGGTGTCCCATGACACCCCCTCCCGTCCCTGTGTCCCATGACACCCCCGCTTCCCGGTGCTCCAGGACATCCCTCTTTTCCCCGTGTCCCAAGACACCTTCTCCCCCGCCTCTATCCCATGATACTCCCCCGTCCCGGTGCTCCAAGAACCCCTCCCGGTGCTCCATGACACCTCCCCTCCCGGTGCTCCATGATACCTCTCCCGGTGCGTCATGACCCCCCCCCCCGCCCTCCACGCCGGTGCTCCGCCATCCCTCGGACCGGCCGGGGCCGAACGGGTTAATTCCCCCCTCCTCCCCTCGGGGGTCCCTCACGATCCCTCCCCCCCGGTGCATCGCGGCCCCGCGGAGCTGCGGGGGCTGCCCCGCCCCCCCCGGTGCGTTGCTCCCTCCGGGGGCCCCGCACCCCCCTCCCGGTACCCCCGCTGCCCCCGGTGTCCGCTGGGAGTTGTAGGCAGACGCTCACCGAGCGCCCCTCATTTACATTCCTCTGTCCCATTGGCCTAACAGCCATTTGTTTTACATAACCACGCCCATCCCTACATTTCTATGCGTGTATTTGCATGCGAGCCCCGCCCTCAGGGTGGGACCAGTCCAGTCTCCCCGCCCCCGGGTCGCGCCATGGAGGCGGCCTCGGCGGCTCCGCGGGGCTTCATCCCGGGCCCGGCTCTCGGGTCGCGGCCTCCGGGCCGGGCCCCTCGCCCGGGGCGGCCCGTGCGGAGCGGCCCGGGCCCGGGGCTGGGCCTGCTCCCGCTCGGCGCGCCCTGCGGACGTGAGGTAACGCGGGGCCCGAGGAGGGGGGGCCCGCGCCGGGCGGTCCCGCTCCCGAGGGCGTTTGGTCCTCGAAGGTCCCCCCGCGGAGCGGAATATGTAAAATACATATATGTTGGGTGATACGTTTGTATTACATATGCACTATATATTACACACATATATGCATTATAAATACATATCGTGCTATGCAGTATTGCTCTTGTTATACATGAGGCGCGTTCTGCTTTTATATATAAGTATTTTCCCAGGTGCACTTAACGCATATGTATGTGCAGTGTGTGCGCATAGAACTGGGGTCATTTCTAAGGAATACATAGACGGAGGGGGGGTTCTGGGCTGCTCCCTTGAGGCTGAGGCCGCATCCCTGCCTCCCTTCCCAGGCTAATCCCCAAACTCGGAGGTGGGCGGGGGTGCAGGTGGGATGGTGGAGGCTCGTTACGTGGAGGCTGGTTACTAATTGCTCGTTACTTAGTGCTAATTGCTTGCGCTCTCTGCCTGCCTCCTCCCGTTCTCTCCTCCCGTTGGAGCAGCTCGGTGGCCTCGCTCCCCAGGATCATGGAGTGTCCCAGGTGCCGCTTCACCTCCAGAGACGCCTCTCCCCGGTTCTGCAGCAGCTGCGGGGCCCCGTTGACCCCCGGCGCCGCCGCGGGGACCCCCGCGCCAGGTAGGGGCTGCCGCCGGGCCTGGGGGCAGCGGCCGGCTCCTGCTGCAGCCCCGGGGCTCGCGCGGCCTCTCTGAACCTTTCCCTGCTTTGCAGTCCCTGCGGCGGGTAGAGAGAAGGGCTGGGGTCATTGGGAGCTCCCACGTGTGTGCTCCGCACACCAGTGCTTTGCTGGGGCCCGTTTTGCCAAGGAGCCGGTGTGTTTCCATGGAATACTGTGCTGCAAAGACCTGTTCCTGCTGATCCAGGATTTCCTGCACTCTTAGTGCCCTTAGGTTTACAACTCGCTGCCTGAGCTTTTGCCTCCTAAAAACACCTCAAAGAAATCAGTGCCCTCTGGTGTTAGCTGATCCTTTTTCAAAGAGACAGGACTCAAAACCAGGGCAGGGGCAGTGGCCAAGAGCCTGGGAAACAGACCTGTGGAAGGTGGGAATGTGCTCTGAGGCTTGGCTCACATCTGAGCTTTTTTTTTTTTTTTTCCACGGGTTTTAAGTGGGATAAAGATAATTGGTGCCTTAACACAGTGGTTTCTTATCTCGGTTATTCCGCTGCTGTGTGTAGGAGCCTGGGAGAAGGAAGGAGGCCCTGCTAGGGATGGAGGTGGTGTTTTTGCTAGTGGTGGCTATCGAAGGGGAAACAAAGCAGCTCTTGTGTGTTGAGCTGATGTGTTTAGTGAGCAGTTTTGCTCAGCAGCAGCTAGGAATGGTTTTGGTGCTGACAATGACCTTTGCCTCCTTGCAGGAGGAGGAGATGTGAAGGCAGCTCCGGGTGCAGGAGCAGAGCCCAGAGGAGCCGCTGCTGCGCTGGGAGCGTCGCTGCCGGAGAGCGGGAGAGCTCCGGCTCCCTCAGGGGCCGCTGGCAAGGGCCCTGCAGGCCGCTCGCCCTCTGTGAGCCAGCCCGAGGAGGAGGAGGAGGGAGCGTCGCTGCAGCCCAGCGCAGGGGCTGAGGGCAGCGCCGCGGGGCCACCGGACGCTGCCCCCCGAAAGGCGCCGTCGAAGGTGAGGAGCAGCAGGGCGCTGCTGGAGGACACACCTGCAGCCACGGCATTGATTTATCTTCTTGCATCATCCTCAGAGCTGCCCAGAAATACCCTGTTCTGCGTTACCTGTGAGAAAGCCATGAATATTAAAAATACCTCATTCTACCCGATTACTTGCATTTCACCTAATGTCCTTTAAACTGACAGTTCTCACTTTCTCTTCGAGCTGCAATGTGACGCTATTGTTTGGTTCCAGTTTTCGTGGGTATTTGCAATCAGATGGTAACCGCTCTTGTCTCCTCTCTTTGTGCTTATTCTCCCTTAACCCTGCATTGCAAGATGATGGTTGTACTACCTGCAGTGAGAGAGATGGTAAAGAATTTCTCTTTGACCATGAGTTAAATTGATATTTTTGTTGTGTTGTTTCCTTTTTTTTTGTAGAAAAGAAAGAGGAATAAAGCAAAGACAAATCCTCCTGACTCTGGGGAGCAGAACTCTTTGCCTCCTCAAAGCATAGAACTGGTTCAGGCACCAGAAATCGTTGATACATGTGTGGTTCCACCAAGCAATGAAGGAGCCAAACCTCATGGTGATTTACCTGGTGGTGAGAGTGAAGGTGCTTGTGAAAATGGTAGTGTCTTGGATCATGTGGAAAAGAAAGCTCAAAGTCTGGAAATAATTGCAGAAGCTGGTCACTGTGAAGCAGATGTGAAGATGCCATCAAAGCCAAGCAGCACTGGTGATGTGCCCATCCCATCTACAAGCTCCATAACCTCAGAGGAGAAGGTGGGTGATGGCAGTGCTGCAAAGCATGGAAAATCAGCCAGGAGTGATGAGGAAGGAGGCAGCGCTGCACCTGATGCTGGCCAGCTTCCCGAAACCAGACTGGATCCCCAGCCCTTGGACAGCAAAGACACACTGGCCTTGAAGGGAGACAGCGTGAGCATCTCCTCTGGCTTCTGCCCTGAAAGAGGAGCACCTGAAACTAGCCCTGCACCCTCCGGTGCTGCACATGCAAGTCAAGGTGCAAAAGCTCCATCTGTGGCCAAAAACTCCCAGGCCAGAAAGGGCAACCAGGAGAGCAGCCAGCAAGAGAGCCCTTTGACTTCCAAGGTAAATGGGTGTGTGAAAATTGAGTATTTGGTCATGTTGGAATATGTTTCCCTGCCTGAACTTTTATTGACTAGGTGTGTGTGGGAGGGTAGAGTCAAGTTTATGTTCTCGTGAGAGTGGGCATATGGAGAGAAAGCAAGTGGGAAGTGTCCCTTGTGACTTTGTTCTCCTGTGGGTTGGTTCTCCAGAATTAAAAGGCCGCTCATTTACTGCCGGGAGCTGTGAACTTGTGTGCTCTGCAGAGAGCTCTTCCAGGAGTGCTCTCCACTGAGATACACATCACCTCTAACCAAGAGATCTTTGTGCTGTGTGGGAATCCCTGCTGCTGTCACAGACAGACCTGTTAAGGTGGAAACTGCCCTTGGTTATTGCTCTGTCCTCTGGGAATCCATGGTGTTTTGACCTGATTTCCTCCAGTTGTGTGTGTGTTGGATTCCTCTTGCAGCCTATTCACTGTTCTCCTTAGCAAGCAGTTCCCTCTTGCTTCATTTGTCCTGACTGGTGTTTCAAGAGGCAAAAGTATGGAATTAGCTGTGCTTTGTGTCCTGGATATCTCTTACTGTCTGAGGAGATGCTGAGCAGCTCTCTTCCTGTCTCACTTCCAAGGTCTCTGACTTGGCTTCATGCTTTTATGCTCCTATTACAGAAGGAAAGTGCAAAAGAGAAAGCAAACAACCCAAAAGAGGAAGTATGTGAAGCAACCAAGAAAAACAGAAATCAGTGCAAAGAGCCAGAGGTTGCTAGAAAGGACACAGCTCCAGCTGTTGCCAGCAGTTCCAAGGACAGAAAGAAACAAAAGAACCAGAAACCCGTGGATAAGACTGAACAAAGGTGAGAAGATCCTTGCTGCTTCCCAGCATTTCCCACTTAGGGGATTTGGTGTAAGGAAGACTCCAGGCTGGGGTGAAGGGTTGAACTACTAACATAAGGTCTTCACATGTCTTGGGTCTGTGAAAATAGGAGCTGGACTTAAAACTGAAGCTGCTCACATAAAGGAGAGCTGGTTGCAGCATAAGTCACATATTGACTAACATGGTACACTTGGCACTTGAGGCCTTTTGAATATCCGACGAGTTAAGAATAAGATCTTTATTTATTTTTTTAACCTGAGGCCAGGACTGCTTCAAACATGTAATTTGCTGTGTGAGCTGGAAGCGGGGTAAAGCGCAGCAATTTCAGGTTACACAGGTTTTGTAATTTTGTGATATGCGGATTTTGTTAAACAGATTTTGGGCATTTTGTGCTTCCTTTATTAATCCCTTGGGGGGTTTGCATGAGGCGTACTGGGTAGCATTGGTTTTAGGGTGAAATGCTGTCGGAGCTCATGCTTCAAGTAAGCTATCAGTTCAGAAAACAGTTCAGTTTTTCATATCACACAAATTGTTTTAAGCATTCATTTTAATTCTTCCCGGTGCAGTTCTGCAAGCCAGAGAGGTGATGTTACCGTGTATTTCCATGCACTATTGTCCAAAGACTTCAAGTTCAACCCAGACGATCATAAAGTGTTTGTCAGAGCTGGAGGCATTTCTGGCTATGAGGACTGGAAGGAGAACATTTGTGAGATGACCTGCACAAAGTAAGTACTGTGTTGAGTAACGTGTCAGGCAGGGGCTACAATTTGGTACCAAACCCTATCTGTGTTCCATATTGTGTATTGCAACAAAAGGTTTTCATCGTGAGGATAAGTATTCCAGGTAGTCATTGGGGCAGGAAGGGGGCCAAAACATTGCTCTTTTTTTAAAAAATGAGGTGACTTAAGAAGTGGGGAGCATGTATGTAGAACAGCTGGCCTGTCTTATGGTTTGTCCTCCTTAGCTGTGTTTTGTTTTATCTAGGTATCTAGAAGAACATGGATACCTCATTGAAGGCTGTGTGACTCTTAAAAAAGAAAATAAGGATAAACATATTCCTTACAAATACTGGATTAAGTCTAATGAAGGAAAATATGAATTTATTTATAAGAAGTCTTTAACTAATCAGGTGGTGAATCGCTGCTTATTTATTAGAAGCAGTTTGGTCCATGCTGAAGGTAAGCTTTTCCCACTGCTTTTTGCAAGTGGCAAATTGGTCGTGGGAGCAGTTTTGTACAATCAGGGATCTTCTAGGGATGGATTCTAACTTCATGTGGACCAGCCTTGTTGGAATCCATTGGCTGAGGCTGGAGCTTCCTGGGTCTGTGGGTAACTAAGACAACAGCGTGTGTGGATGGATGTTTTTTTTCTCCAATGACTTCTGTGTTCTGGTCTCTGCTTCTTACAGAATGGCATCAGTACGATGATATCGTGTGTGCTAAACCCTCCAAGTGGGAAACTTGGTGGAATTCTCTACCCTTCTCTGATGAGGACAAAAAGGTGGTGGAAGGAAAAATAATAGCAGCAAATATTATGCTAGAAAATATCTTCAGTATCCTAGAAACCTGGAGTCCTGTCAACCTGGAAAGCTTCCTCTCCCAGCTGAGACAATTCTATGTTGTTACAAGTGAGCCAGAAGTATATGAAGGCAGACATATTCTGTGGATAGAGTTAAAGTTTGGAAAACCTGAGGTAATCTGTTTTCTTTTATCAGATCTTAAGGGACAGAAGTTAAGTTACTAACCATAGCCTTTAATTTTGCTACTGACCTTGTTTATCCAATTTGGTGTTCCAGTCAAAAGCTTCATGTGTGACACAATAAATGTAGATCCTTTCATGGTGATTGCCAGTTCCTGCATTGAGGAACCCTTTTAACTAGCTGCAGTTTTGGTCAGGAGCAGAGCTACAACATGGTGTTTTGGGAAGAGTTTTGCCTGAATCTTAACTTCCTGTGTGCAGCCCTTTAGCTCTGCTGCCCGTCACTGTGTTGGTCACTCTGCCTTCTTTGCACTTGTCTGTGACTCCAAACCTACAGTTTTTGGAGACGAGTGCCTCCTGGCCTAGTTCTGATGACTAGTGCAGAAAGGGCTTCTGGAGCCCTGAATTTCTTACCTTGCATAACTTGGAAACACCCATCCTCTTCGGGAGCCTCGCACCACCACACTTATTTATTTCTGTGCTCTCACTCCTAGATCTGTAGGAGAGGCTCCAAGGCACTTGGGAGTAACCATGTGTCCTGGCCACCCAAGCTCGGCAGAGCTTGGCTTAAGCTGAAAGAAAATGACTTGTAGGGCAACTAATGCTCTGGTGTGCAATTGTTTCCTTCCTTCTTTGTCCTAGGTAAATGAATTGCTCCTGAAATACATGAAGAAAATAGCTCTTCCTTTCTTGGGCCCGGAAGGTCCAAGTGCCTCACAGAAGGACATGGCAATAAAAAGTAAACTAGCTCTGGGACTGGTCATTCTGACAGTAGTTGAAGAATTTAACCTGCCGCTGACTGAAAGTGGTCTGGCTGGTCTGTGCAGCCTCTTGTGTTTGGAGGACAGGGTGCAAAAAGCTGTACAGGATGAAATTCGGCACACCCAGAATGCCTTTAAAGGGGTTACAAGGTATGTAGGTGTTAATGCTGACCTGTGAAAACACTTCTTAATGCCTCCTTTTATCCAGTGTGTCTAGAAGGAGTAAATTACAACAGCAATCGAAATGTGCAGAGCAGTTAGTATCTTGCATTTGAAGAATACTGGTTTGCCAGTTCTGCTGCACTGCTTATTGACAGCTGAGCTGGGCCAAGAGCATGTTGCCTGTCACGGTTTCCTTCTGAATCTGCTTTTCTTCCTGGATGCTGTTGTTCGCCTCGGGCTGTGAGTGGAGGGATTCTCCCCTCCACTCGAGTTCCAGAACACAGTCATCCCTCCACTGATACCAGTTGGCGGCTTCAGGGTCTTTATATCCTACTCGCTGTAGGGCAGACTCATGCAGTAGCCAACTGACAGCAGTGTGGTAGGTAATGAGTGTAGCACCTTGTAGTCACGCGGTGGGGCTCCAGCTCTTAGAGTATCACTGGAAAATTCAGGTTGGAAGGGTTCTCTGGAGGTCTCTGTTCTGACCTTCTCCTCAGAGCAAGGCTGACGTTCGGGCAGGGCTGCAGGCTCGTGTCCAGCTGAGTTCAGACAGCATCCCGGGATGGAGCCTGCACAGCCTCTCGGGCTGTATTCCAGTGCCGCATCCTCCCTTGTGCGTAACACCTTGCCCTTGTGACCAAGCATAATCCTCCTTATCGCAACTTGGGGGGCTAGAGCTGTCACGAGGGTGTCTGGATGCATTTATAGCTCTGTGCAGCTATTTCACAAAACCTCTGGCTGAGCTGGGGAGAGCTAATGTTGGAAACTGTAGATTAACTTATTGGCAATGCTACGTTATGCGATAATCATAGGATTTATGCAGTGAGATTGAAAGTAGGATTGCAGCTTTGAGGTTTAAACTTCACTCCTATATCCTCTTCAAGGAAGGTAGGATTAAACTATAATTGTAAAAAGTTATGTGAAGATGCATGATGAAATATAGTGCTTTTTTGACAGACTTTCTTTTATCCAATGTAAAGACTTTGTTCTATTTTTTCTCCTCAGTTTGACATGTCACCTGACAAACTTGTGCCAGAAATGCATAGACGGCCGAGTAAGCCACTGGGTTTGGGTCCTTCCTCTTCTGCACTTTCTCTCTGCTCGTCCACACCATGAACACTCTCAGGTGGCAGAAGATATCTGGGCAGGGCTGGAGGGGCTTCCGTTTGCTGACGTGAGGCAGAGACATCATATGTGAGTTTCCAGAATGTCTGTGGCTTTCCAGAATTACTAGTTTTAACCAGGGCCTTTGGTGGCCTTCGTCTCTTAATATTTTTTTTCCTTCTTTTACGAAACATGGTTCTATGATTCTGTGAAACAAGAAACGTAGGATGTTGATTGTGGATATTGAGAATATGTGAACACAGCTCATTGGTAGCTCAAACATTATGATGTCCAGGAAAACTGCACAGCAAATTAACAAAATTATGGAGAGAGGAAGAAGAAAGAGAAGAAAAGGGGGAGGGGGGGGGAAGCTGTGGAGCAGCTGGCAGGGTTGGTTAAGCTTCATGCGAGCTAAAGCTGTTTGTGCAGAATCTGAGCAGGACGTCAGCCATTTGTTGTCACCTGATGCTTCTGCTCAGTAGTTTGATGCTATGATTACCAGATCTTGAGATTTTTACCTGTCTTTGATGTAGGTGAAGGATGCACGTGGTCAGTGTTCTTGAGGGGCTAAACCAACTTTAGCCTCTTGTAGCCTGAAAACTTGAAGCCTTTATTTTGTTTTCTATCCAGGGGGAACCTGCTGCAGCTAATGAAGGAAAAGAAATACTTGATGGAATTTGACAGGACTCTGGTCAAGTCCTGGATCTGTGTGCAGCCCCTGGAGAGTCTGGCTGAATTTATAACCGAGTTTTCCAGAGACTTTTTAGATTCTCTTCAAGGTGTTTCTTACAGATTAGAGGACATCCACCTTTCCTGGAGCAATGCTAAGGTTTGTTTTCCAATGGCTTTCCCCAAGTGAGGGATAAAGGCTAAGGCTGGTTGATAACAGGTCAGGTCAGAGCACAAGGAACTTAAGATGTAGCTAAAACTGTGGGTGGCTTTTTTTTTTTTTTTTTCTTTTTTTTTTTTTTTTTTTTGCTCTGAAGTAGAAGGTTCCCAACTTCTCAGACTGCTGCCTGAAACTCTTATTTGCACAGAGCTTGAGTTGTGGGTGCTGTGTGAAGTCCTCTTATTTAAAATATTTTCCTGCATGTGAGGAAAACGTTCTTTTATTTTTTCTGTCTGTGAGAAGAACAGAACTGGGCATTGCAATTAAAAACAATAACGAAACAAAAAACCCTGTATGAAGTTTGGCTCTTGGGCCCCTGATTGTTAATATATACATTGGCTGTGGCATGGGGCACTCACTGATGCATTTCTGCTGTTTTATAGCCTGCGTATGAAAGTACTGAGAAGTGTGAGAGAATCCTGAATTTGTTCTTTCTTAGCATCCTCCTCTGAGAGCAAGTTCCTCTGAGAAACCAATCTGTAAAATTAGTTCCATTTTCTAATGCTTTATATCTTTTACTTCTTAGGTGGTAGAAAGTCTTTTAGAGAAGCTGCTGTGCCTCTTGGAAGAACAGGCCAGGTAACTGAAATGTACTTGTCTGTCTCTACTCCTCTGCAGCTACCAAGTTCCAGGGGTTTTTCCCCAGATGGTTGGCTGCTGTGCTGGGTTGAGTTTGTTCTTTGAGGGTTGGTTTTGTTTTGTTGCCTGAGCAAGTCGGTATCCTTCATTCCGGAGCCAAGTGACGAGAAGATTCTCCCTTTTTATTCCTGTCCTTCAGAGCTCTGGACGCTCGCTACTGGCAGTCCTGCCTGGCCGTCTGCCTCAAGCTCCATAAGGCTGTGTGCAAGCGTGCGAAGCAGGGCTGGTGGTTCAAGATTCCTGCCACTTCTGCCAAGATGATTGCAAGGACCGCCAGGCTTCAGCTCACAGCAGTGAGTCCTGAGTCCCATTCAGGAGCGCATCTGAATGGGATGTGCAGGAGCGGTACCGAAGTGGTGCCCTAGGCTCCTTTTAGATCATGGATCTTCTTCCTCGGGAAAGCTTGGTACTCTAATCAAAATTGCAGGACTTCCAAGCACCTGTGAAAAAAAAAAATAATGATTTTGATTGTTCTTACTTAAAGTAAGCTCAGATACATAGTCATGGGTTTTATGTCTCTTTTTTATAAAAAGAAGCAAACAAAAACCTTAAACATGTATATCGTTTTCCATTCCTAGAATGAGAGACTTTTAAGCACAAACTACTTTTCAGCCTTGGACTTTTCCCAGCCTCCCTCTCCTTTACTCCGATAGTCCTATTTATTCAAACAGACCCTATTCTTGGGCTGGTAGATCTTCTGTTTCAGAAATATTTACTTAAAACAACCGCTAATTGCTCTCCTGTTTGCAGCTGTTCTTATTTTTCTCTTCTGTGTGACAGATTCCAAGAGAGGAATCCGCCCAGGGAGTTCCAGTGCTAGAAATATTCCGTGAAGCGCTGTCACACACTCGAACCTGGTTCAGAAATGTTTTAAGCACCAACCTCCTGGAAAGGACTGCTGAATCTGTGAAGTTTTCTTTTCACTGGGAACTTAAGGTTTGTCTTTTAACAATCAGAATAAAAATGTGGTTTGATGTAGAATGAGTTGGGGATGGATAATGCAGGACACTAACTCAGTAGTTGTCTGCTTTAAGGCTGTAATTGATAGGTATTTCTCAACTCACCTTGTTCTCCTTTCACTTGGCTGACCTAGGAGGAGCTGCTCCTTGCTGGTGTTCGGCTCTAGCTGTCACCTTGCTCACCTTGTTTTGCTATTCATCAGGCAAAGCAAGGAATGACTTTACACCTTGCCCAAGCCTCATGCTGCCAGCTCTCCTTGGGGCCGTTTCCAGCAACAAGGTTCTTCCAATGTCTCCTTTTAGCAGCAGGAATATTTGGAGATGTTTGGGCTAAGCTATCTGTTGTGATTCTTGGAGTGTTCTTTATCGATTGAACAGTGATTGAACAGGTCTGTCTGCCTCGGCTGCAGCAGATGCAGGGCCGCTCCTCAGTGTGGGGTTGTTTTTTTTGTTTCCTTCGTTTGCTTTTCAGTTTCAGCATTAGTGTTTTGGGCTTGTTTGCTTTTTGCCTTAGGCCTGGGATGAATTTGTGAAGATCAGCTTTCCGAATGAAGACTTCACTGAGTTTTGGAAGAAGACTTTACTTGCAGACTTGGGTGGAAGAATTCGTCAGGTAGGGGCCCTCCAGGAGATCATCATGTGTTTGCAGGTCAAGTTCAGAGGGAATGACAAGTCCTCTGTGCTGTTTGTGGAATAATTTCTAGAGCCTGGATGGACACCTTAAAACGTAGCTTTGCTATGAAATTTCCATTGCTGTTATAAACAAGGTTCTGGAGGCTCGAGATTGAACATTGAAGCAGCTTTTGGTATATCAGAAACTCCAGTAGAGCTCAGGCCTCGCTGGGATGCTCTTGTTTCTAGCAGCTTTGAAGGAAAATGTATGTTTTGAGTAATCGCTGTCCCATTAGTTTTAAGAACCTGCTGGTGTAAATAAGACGATAAAGAAGGTGACTTGGCACATCTTTTTTTCTATTGACTGGGTAGAAGTTGGATTGTCCAGGCTCCCAAGTTTACTTACCCTGTAAGTCACTTCAAACTTGACGCTGTGTATTTTTTAATCCCCTCCCTACATAAGGTCCAAATTCTTTAAGCTGTTGAGTTTCATGGTGTAACTAGGAAACAAGTATTTCCTGGGAGAAGCCTGGCTTGGCTGGAGAGATACATTTTTAGTAATAATGTGCTTTAAAAGGAAACAGTGTAAGATTTGTTTCCTGTGTATGCAAGTTTCATCTCACTTGCAATCCCTGATGTATGGTGCAGGGCAGGTGGTTGACACTGCTAGAAAACATAAATTTTCGGCTTAGTTCCTTTTGTTGCAGCACTTCTGCGTGCTTTGAGTACACTTTGGGAACTTTAAGACGTCTCCCTTCTCTTTTGTCCTACAGGAGCCTCCAGTTAGTCAAATCTTAGCATCATGCTGTTGGTATAACGTATTTGAAAACCTGGACCCTTCCATTGGCTGCTGTTTCAGAAGTTGTGCCATAGAGGCTGTGACTGCAGCCAGCCAGGTATTGTGTTTTCCCTTAAGGTAGGAGGAAAAAAAAAAGGGGGGGGGGGGGGTCTTTCTGCTGCATAGGAATCCTGTATCTAGAGATATGTGTTGTGATGGAAAGAGTGGCACAGTTATTCTCATTTGAATTGCTCTGGGTGTTTCTGTTTATTAAGCCAACAAATAAAATACTGGGCATCTAAGACCCACTTAAAGAGTCCATGAAAAGGACTTTTGCCATCCTAGCTGCTGGTGTCTGTCGGGTCAGATGGCTCTTTGGAACATGCCTTAGCACAGGAGGTGTGTGACTTGCCTCAGGATGAGCCCCTGGCTCGGTAAGGGCTGAACCAACCCAGTCCAAGCACTGATACCTTCTTCTCCTGTGTCTTGTTGACCTGCTGCAGACTCGGACCAATCTCCTTGACCTGATACCTCCCGAAAACATGAAGAGACTTGGCTGGCTTATATCAACCATTATTACAAAGTCATGGCCCATCAAAAAGAGCGGGCAGTCAGAGGATGATTTTGATGAGGTTTTGCACCACTTGCTTACATGGCCTGACATAAAGCATATCTTCAGCTTTAATGGTATATCTGTCTGTATGTCTATGTTTGTTCTTAATGTTTGTTAAGAGTCCATGAGAATCTGTTCTCTGCTGTTTCATTCTTAATCCTCCTTCTGAAAGGCAGGAAATGAATATATACAAGTTTTCGTGCTCTTGTTCCCTTCCCCATCTCAAGATTCAAAATATTCGGGCTGATGTTGGAGATAAAAGCCTAAAGAAAGTGAGCTGGTGTTCCTGCAGTGCTGATCCACTGCTGCCTCTTCAGGATTTGTACCAAACTGCTGAATCTGTAGATCCATTGGATATGTACAACATGGCTTATTTTGAGAAGTTCTAATGTGTTATTACTATGTAAAAATGCAGAGTTTTCAGTCATATGAGTGGTCTAAGGTGGCATGTGTTTCCTGCACAGGAGTTCTTCATACATGCTGGGGCTTAGGTAGGGACCTTCCATGAGGAGATGTCCGAGCTACTCTCCTGAAATCCTGGAGCTAATTTTGTTCAGGAAACATTGAGGAGTTGAAGGATGGTGTGAAGAGTTTGTAGGCTTCTGGGGTAGGCACTTAAGTGGGAGATGGAAGGACTGTTGTTTCCAAGTAGCTTTTGTGAGGCAGGAAAGATCTAGACTTTATATATTTTATTTCTCGAACAGGAACAAACACCAATGTCCTAGAACAACTTTCAGATGAAGCAAAAGATAAAATGGCCATAGCAGACTCTGTGCTTATGAGCGTCACTGAGGCTATCCAGGAAGGCTGCGTCCTTGTGAAATATTTGAAAGAGGTTCTTCAGCACGAGGAGCAGTTCGTCCGTATCTGGGAACTAAGTAAGTCCCAAGGTGGCCAGGCTGGCTTATGGCATCTTTGTAGCAGTCAATAACCTACCTCAGTGATCAATAATGCTGTATTGGGACTTCACTTGTTAGACACTGCAAGGGTAGTACTTTATCATGAGCTGCTGGATCTCTGTTGCAGGGTGTAATTGGTGCTCCCGCTCTCTGTTGTCTGCATTTCACTATCATTTTGGCTGTATTAATCCATACCCAAGTTAAGGGTGCAGGAGGTGGAATGTTTTTTATCTTGTGACCACAGTCAAGTTTTCTTTCAGAGCACAAACAGCTAGTGCATGAAGACGGAGAAGCACTGCAGAATGAGCTGAAAGAAGTGCTGCGGAAGAGGCAAGAAGAGATGACGCTAATTAGGAGCGAGGAAAAAGCAATAGGAACCTTTCTGGGCATGTGTAGGAAGGTGCAGACATCTGTAAAAGGTATTTTCTGACAGAAATTTTAAAGTGACAATTCCAAAAAAATATATTTTTTCTTTGACAACTATTAGACTTTGTAAATAGATTTTATTGACAACTAGAACAACAACAGGGGGTGAGGGAGAGTTTGAGAACAAGTGAGTGCTCAAGTGTCAGACGATATTTGGAAGGGTCCATGTGCTCATAGCACTGTGCGACTCGGGGCCCACTCAGGAGATTAAAGAAAGCAAGCTGGGCGCGGAGTAGATGACTGATGTTTGACTTGACCTTTGTCTATGTTTTAAAGTGTCCGTGGCTGAACTGGAGCTTCAACACGCAGAAGATCTTTCCTCAAAAAAGCTGAATACAGTGGTGAACGTGGGAGAGACGCCTCTAAAGACCTACTACAGTCTGAGCCAAACCCTAAAATTCTTTGTGCAGAAAATGTACTCTTTTAAAGACAGCCTGATCTTCCAGCAGTTCTGGGAAGAAGCAGCCCAGAATATAAAAAAAGAGTATGAGGATGAAGATGAGGATGAAGATGAGTATGAAACTTCAGAACACCGGGAGGTTCCTATATTAGACCTTAAGAATGTGTTTGATAGTCTCATCTCCCCTTGTTTTGAAAGCTATGAAAGGTTATATGATGACCTCAGATCTGGAAGTCTTACACTTTCTGCAGTTGATAGGATTTTCCAGGAGTTTACAAACCATTCTGACGATATCAAAACTGAGCTAAACACCATGTGCAAACTGAGACCTGGAGAGAAGACAGACTGGGTAGATCAGCGACTTCAGCAGATAAAGCAATACTATGAGCTGCATTTAACTTTTGATGCTGCAAAGATTATTGCTAATGTCAAAGAGAGTTTAAACCTCTCTGGTGACTTCACTATCCTGGAAAAATTGCTGGACATAGTAAGTATTCGCCTCGTGGACTCTTTGCTGTCAAGGTGTTTGCAGGAAAGCTTGGGTAGATCTGAACCTCCCAGGAAATCAACCCCAGCTTATCAAGAGCTGCTATTCTCTGACTTAGAAAATTTATTTGGGATAAAAGTTTGCGTTCAAACTACGTACTCAAGTGCCTAATCTTCCCTAAGAGATGCGTGCCTCTTGGTGCAGGAGGACCACAGGGGCAGTGTCTCAATCAAGGTCATGCGCAGTGACAGATCTCGAGTCACAGAACCCAGGGATATGAGATCCTACATCATGAAATTGGAGTGTCCTTAGCCTTCTAGTCCAATACATTTGTCGCCTGTGCAAGCTACAAAGTGCTTTCAATGCAGTTAAGACACAGTTTAAAAGCAAAATGCACCCCTTTCTCCCCCAAGTCTATAGCATGGAGCAAAGGAGAAGATTGGTTTAGATGGCACATGAGAAATCCAAGGCCCTAGAAGGTCATGTGTTAAGGAAAGTGACTGCATAGCCTCGAGCCCAGTGCGCCTCCCTCACTGCTGGTGTCTGTTTTCTGTACTGCTTTTTGACACCAGGCAGTTGTGCCCGTCTGGCCACTTTGTTCTTTAACTAGTCCATAGATGTTTTCCTGTTTGGCTTGTGGTTTTGCAGAGGGCTTCCCTTAACCTGTTTGAGAATGGTCCATTTGAGGCTAGACTTCGCTTCCAGCTTGTGAATATTTGTTTGCCTCACTTTTATAGACAGAAAAGCTTGAAAGTTACAAGACACAAAAGCTGTCCTCCATCAGCGCAGAGCTTATCGCTGCCAAGGAACTGCTGCAGGGGATCACTGAGAAGCGTCGCAGATGCCTGCAGGAGCTGGCCCAACAGAAGGAGTTTGTCTGCTGGGTCAGGGAGGCGCTGACAGGTGGGTGCTGCCCGCCTGGGCACCGAGCTGCTGCTGCTGCTGCCCGTTCTGGGAGAGAGGAGCAGCACCCTGTCCTGCCCCTCCTGCTTTCTGCCTCCTCAGCTGCTGCTCTTGATAGTTAGAGCATCTCTGGCAGGTTCCCATGGGCACCTGTAAGGAAGTGCATGCACCACAGCCCTGTGCAGCTAACCTGCCTGATGCTGGGATGGTGTAAGGGGCTGTAATGGGTGCTGCTGGGCTTCAGAGAGCTTATTTAACAGAAGTCATTCATTTAATAGGATATCAGTTGTCAGACTAGTTACATGCCTGTCTGCTTAGTTATCTTATGAGCACATGTGTGCACACGCATCGCTCTGTATGTGCAGTGTCCACCTTCCTGCCTGTGACTCTGCTGTTTATAGCAGTACTGGGAACAGCCAGGTCCAAGGATGCCATTAATGTAGATGAATTGTCCAGTAAATTTATGAGCATGATGGTGGAGGGAAGTTGCAGGAGATGCTGCATCATCTGCAAAAAGGGATGACATTGGATTCCAGTAAAATTGCCTTTTTTTTTTTTTTTTCCTCTAATTTATCTCACTTAAGATATAAATGAGCTGAAGGTATTTGTAGACTTGGCTTCCATCTCTGCCGGGGAGAATGACATGGATGTGGATCGTGTGGCCTGTTTCCATGATGCCGTGCACGGCTACTCCTCCCTGCTCTATGACCTGAGGCAAGAGTCGGGGTTTGGTGACTTCACATACTGCCTGAAGAAGCTGTGGCGAGCTCTGGGCAGCGATGAGAACCTTCCCGAGAAGCTGGTGAGTTCTGCTGGAGCAGTTCCCCTCTGCATCTGCTGCGTTTCTGCCTTCCAAGAGCAGCCAGAGAGCTGACTGAAGAGGACAAGTTCGTTTTGTGTGGAGGCATTGCAAAAGTTGGGTTTGGGGCGGGGTTTTGTTTTGTTCAAGGAAAATATCTTATGCATCTGTGGCCCAAAGATTCAATGCAGCAACAACTATTGTTATAGCAGAGATTTTGCCAGAGAGTTTCTTAGGCTTTTAAATGTGGTACGGTCCAGTCAGTCTTACAAGAGTTTGATACAGAAGGGAAGGTGGGTGACTGAGCTGTCTTATTCCTTTGGAGCAAGAGGCTTCCCAAGCTTTGTTTGTTCCGCACTCCAAAGAGTTGTTACAGGGCAGCTCTGCTGAATATTCAAACTGGTGCCTGTAGTTGCTCCTTTCTGCCTTCCCCATCCCGAGACTTTCTTATGCCAGTCTAAACTGTCTGTCCTGAATATAGTCCTGGAAAGGGGTGCGAGTCAGAGTGCTTAGGGCAATACCATGTGCTCTCCCTGTCTCTGCAGCGTGCTTCAGCCCAGCACTTACACTGGCTGAAAACAGTGAAGGAGAGCCATGGGTCTGTGGAACTGTCATCACTGTCGCTGGCAGCTGCCATCAACAGCAGAGGAACCTACATTATCAGAGCACCAGCTGATGGCCAGAAGGTGAGGCTGCTCGGCTCTGCATCTGCTTGAGCTGCCGCAATGTCAGGCTGCAGTCCTGAGCATGATCTGCGCTGATGGTGCTCCAGTGACTGGCAGAAATGTGCTGGAGTTTCTCTGTCACTCTGTGCGGTCTTTTGTGGAGGCTGCTGTCTCCTCAGCACCCTGCTTGCACGTGCAGCCTCACTGCACCGCAGCGCTGCTCACGACTTGCTCTCTGGCAGGTTTCTTTGGATACTGTCCTGCACTTCACGCTCCCAGAAAGCTCAATGGATGGTGAGACATCGCGGAGATACTCCCTGGAGGAGCTCCGTGAACTGCAGAACAAGCTGATGCTCATGTCGGCAAAGGGAGAACAAGGCCTGGAGGTGGAGAAGTTCTCGGAGGTCAGACTTTAAACCTATATCGAGACTGGGACTGGACTTTTTCCTGAACATCCATTTACAACTATGGTTCACAACTGAGATGTTGGGGATGGGCTGCAGCAGATGGAGGTTTAGCCCTTTCTTGATTCCCTGCTCTGGTGGAGCTAGACTGGAGATGGGATGGGACTGGTACCCTCAGTGCTCTGGCTGCACTGGAGATGCTCCTAGCTGCGAGAGCTGCTATTGTGGCAATGCATAGACTGAATTTCTTACTGGCTTCTAGGGGATGCTCACATTAAACAGCTACAGGGAGCCTTTTATTAGACTGCAGGGCCTGATGCACCTGGGCTAGACCAAAGCTTTTATTTTAATTGAAGGTCTTCCCTGTATGTCATGACTGGGACTTGTCTTGGCAAATTTACTTTAGTGTTTTTTTTTCTTTTTCTTATTCTCTGTCCTCACACAGGTCTTTTCCAATGTCCAAAGATTTGCACAGTCCTTTATAGACCTTTATTCAGCTGGGAACGTGCTCTTCCGTTTCTGGCTTGCCCGCATATATTGCTCTCCCAAAAGCGAGTCATGTGTCGTCCTAGACTTCTCCTTGGCCCTGATCCCAGGGCTAGAAGGGCAAGGAGAGGTGGCCACTGTGCTCCCAGGGCTCTGCAGAAAGATGGAGAGTTTCCTGGAGAGGTGGAGAGCCTTCATGAATGACAAGCGATCCAAGTACTTCCACTTGAACTACTACACTGCTGAGCAGCTCGTCTATTTGTGCGGAGAGCTCAAGAAAGGGCAGCCCAGCCAGAATGCCCTGATGATGCTTTCGTTCCTAAAACACAACTGTACCAGTCAGGATGTCCTGCGAGCCTCCCGGAGCACGGTGCTCGCCAGCTCAAGGAAGGCCATTTCCAACTTGCCAGCTCTGCTGGAAGAAGAGAGGGATCTGCCGGCGCAACTGGAGCGCATCTGGCAGTGCTACATGAGCAGCATGAGCTCCTTCCTTCCCAGCTGCCTGGATGTGGACACACTGGGCCGCTGGCTGAAGAACCTGGCGGGCCTGGAGAGCGCGCGCGTGGCGCGGGACTTCCCGCAGGATTTCCTGCGCGTTGGCCAGCCCAACCTCATCACGTGTCCTCGCTCCGACGTGCTCTCTGCTGCTCTGGCCATCTACATGCACAGCCCCCACCAGCCCCTGCCCACTTTCGATGAGGTTCTCCTGTGCACGCCACAGACCACGTCTGAGCAAGTGGAGCTTTTCCTCAGGAGGTGCCTCTCTCCTAGCAGCAGGGGAGAGAAAATTTACACCCTGCTGTATGCGGATGAGCTAAGCTACGATGTCAGTGCCAGGGCGGAGGAGCTCTTCCGCTGCCTGCAGCACTACAACAGCGTGTATCAGCTAGTCATTCTGTGCAACTGCAACAGGGAGCACAGCTACATCCCCTCCGTCTTCAGCCAGTATAAAGTACACATGGTCCCCCAGAGGCCCCTCGCTGAAATCCAGAGATACCTTCAGGACCACTACAGGGTCACTCAGCCTTTAAGCTCAGCTGCTTCTGTGTTCAAGGACAACATGTGTGTTGGGATTGTGTCTTCCAGGAGAGCTGGAGTGGGTAAGATGGCACATGCAAAGTCAGGTCTGCTGAATCTTGAAAACCAGAGTGGGGTTCAGCTTGCCAGGTTTTCTGTGTTGTTAAGAAGCATCTAATCAAAGAGTAATTCACTTTCTTCCTAGTCAGTGAAGTGAGATGATGACTCTCCAGACAGCTTCTTTTACCCTGGAATAGGCATCACCAGAAGGGATTCATCTTGCTAATTTGACAACTCTGTCTTCCCAGTGGCCTGGTGAAAGCTTATATCACCTGAACCACATGTGAGATGCTGGATAAGATGAATCTGACCACCTAAGGTTAAATAAACCTGTAGGAAAATGTGCAGGAGATGGGGCCAGGAATTGCAAGCCTGCATATTTTTCCCATATAGGGATTGATTACGGACAGTCCCTTAATGCAAAAAGCTAGAGGGCACTAAGTGAAGCTACTGTGTGGTGGGCTCAAAAGGAAACAGCAGAAGCACGTGGTTCTTCAAATAGTGCATAATTAAACTGCAGAATTCACAGGATATTGTGGAAGCTGAAGTTTTACACAGACTTAATATTGAGTGAAACATCCCTCAGCACCTGTTAAACACAGATTTATTTGGCATAGCAGTTCCTGAGCTGCAAATCACTGGGAAATACTCTGAAAGTGTTGCTGTATGTCCGCAGTTTCTTGCCGTGTCCTGTAATTGCTGCCCTTTGTTGGAGGTTGCTGCTCCACTGAGTGCTTGGGCTATCCAGCTGTCTGTGTGTGCTCTGTGTTCCCTGTGTGAACTTCAGACCTGCACAGGAGCAGCATCAGTCCTTGCTACATCCTTACACTTCTAGAATGTTTTTGGAGGGTTCAAAAAATGGAAAATATAGACCCTAAGCATGTGACTTGCATTTTGCTGATTTTGCTCTTGTTTTCATCTTAATACGGCCCTAATGTGACTTATATTAATTGCTTTAATTCTTTTGTGTGGCATGACAACAGGAAAATCTCTCTACGTGAAGAGACTGCATGAGAGACTTCAAGCACAGCAGCCTAAATGTGCAGAGCTTCTGAAAACAATCAGGCTAATAGACCCAGAGGTGGATGAAGATAAAGTGCTGAAATCTCTTCTGCCTTTTCTGAAGAGGCACCACCAGCTGAAACCGATGATATTCCACTTCGATATCACCTCTTCAGTAAGTGCATCACGCTTCACGTGTGCCCTTCCTCAGAGGGCCTGTGTGGATCCTTGCAAAAGTTGTCTCTTTAAAGATTTTGTTTCTTGGTTAATCTTTTTTACTAGGACCTGTTCTCTAATCACAATGAGTAAACAAATGGGAAATGCCTTTCTCTTTTCTGACGATAGGTACAAAGTGGAATTCCAGAGTTTCTCTTCAAGCTGTTGGTTTTGCAGTATCTGACAGATACGAATGGCAATATGTGGCTACGACAGAAATGCCATTTATACATCATTGAAATCCTTGAGGTATTGCCGACACCAAACAAAGCAGCGAGACACGTACGTACGCAGGAACACTGATCTGAGTTCCTTGTCGCTTTATCCACAGGGCTTTCGATGCAATTAGATGTGAGTTGTAGAGACTATAACTGTAGCTAGAGTATAAAGAGTTCTTGTTTGCTTGGGTAACTGTGCATCTCTGTTATGAAGTGGTGCCAGAACTGGACAGTAGATTAGGTTTGTTGTGGCTTTCTTGATTAAGTCATTGCTGGAGGCTTGTTGGGCCTAGGTTCATTGGCCGCACTTTTAACATTTGTATGAAAGATAAAAATACAAAATTCAGTCTTCATTGTGTTACTTTGCATGCTTGGAAGTAATAATTTATATGTAGATACCAGAGCAGAGTGTAAAAGTGAAAGAGATAAAAAAAAAAAAAACAGTAGTTTCTTATGTCTCTTTTTGTTTTTCCTTTGAGATAACAAAGAAAACAGGGTTGGAGGAAACAAAGCAGTAATGTTGCAGGAAGGCCATTGTAGGTGGAGAAGGAATTAATTGTTGTGATGGTTGTTCCTCTCTTTTTTGGGTATGCTATAGAAGTGTGACACAGTTGTGTAGGCTGACTCTTGCCATGCAGATATGTCTGTGATTTTAGGCAGGAATGCTGAAAAAAACAGATTAACTACAGAAGATTAGAGCTCTAACATGGGGCTACAGCTTTGACTTTGTGTTTTTGTTTGCTTGATTTTTTTTTCCCTTCTATTCCAGATGTCACAGAGCCAGAAGTATAATTTCCTTGATGTGTTCCCAAAAGTAACGTGCAAGTCTCCCAAGGAGGTACTAGAGATGGAGACGCTCGGGAACCAGTCTGGGGATGTTTCCGACCCGGGAATGGACAAGGAGGAATTTGGCAGCGAAGCTTTCCAGAGACCTTTCCAGTATCTGAGGAGATTTGACCAGGGCTGCGATCTTGATGCGTTTCGTTATGAAGAGGGCTCTGTAGAGGGGAGCCCAGCCGAGTGCCTCCAGCAGTTGCTCCTGCACTGTGGGATCATAGATCCCTCCTGGTCTGAACTGCGGAACTTTACCTGGTTTCTCAATATTCAGCTGCGAGACTGTGAAGCTTCCATTTTCTGCAATCCTGAATTTGTCAGGGACACTCTGCAGGGCTTCAAGAACTTTGTTGTTACCTTCATGATCTTAATGGCAAGAGATTTTGCAACACCGTCCCTGAACATTTCTGATCAAAGTTCAGGAAACCTGTCTTCTGACATGCAGAATGTTGCAGAAGAAGATCTTCTTCCTTTCCACATTCGGAAAAAGTGGGAGTCTGAGCCTCATCCGTATTTGTTTTTCAATGAAGATCGTGTGTCCATGACATTCATTGGTTTCCACTTGCAACTCAATGCCAATGGTGGTGTTGATGCCGTTAATCCTTTGAACGGCAACATTATCAAGAGAAACGTTATGACTTCGCAGTTGTATCATGGCTTGTTACTCCAAAGAGTTCCCTTCAATATTCATTTTGATCAACTGCCCCGACACGAGAAGCTAGAGAAGCTCTGCATGGTTCTGGGGGCCCCCTGGGTAACAGAGCCCGATGAAACGTATGAACTCACCACAGACAACATGCTAAAGATCCTGGCTATCGAGATGCGATTCAGATGCAACATCCCAGTCATTATCATGGGAGAAACAGGCTGTGGGAAGACCAGACTTGTAAAATTTCTGTGCAAGTTGCGCAGAAACTGTGCAGAGGCAGACAACCTAAAGCTTGTCAAAGTTCATGGAGGTACTACTGCAGAGATGATTTATGCCAGGATCAAAGAAGCAGAAGCCATTGCTAAAATGAACAAGGAGCAGCATGGGTTGGACACAATCCTGTTCTTCGACGAAGCCAACACGACAGATGCCGTGAGCAGCATCAAGGAGGTTCTGTGCGACCACACGGTGCAGGGGCAGCCTTTGGCCTCTTGCTCAGGCTTGCAGATCATAGCAGCCTGCAACCCTTATCGTAAGCACACACCGAAGATGATCCAGCGCTTGGAATCGGCGGGGTTGGGCTACCGTGTAAAAGCAGATGAGACCAAGGACAAGCTTGGCTCCGTTCCCCTGAGACAGCTGGTGTACCGGGTCCACGCGCTCCCACCCAGCATGATCCCATTGGTGTGGGACTTCGGGCAGCTGAACGACCTGACTGAGAAAATGTACATCCAGCAGATTGTGCAGAGACTTGCTGACCACGTGCCCATGAGTGAGGCCGAGGCAGACATCATTACTGAAGTGCTCTTTACTTCTCAGCAGTACATGAGGCGCAGAAACGACGAGTGCAGCTTCGTAAGCCTGCGGGACGTGGAGCGCTGCATGGAAGTTCTCAAGTGGTTTCACGAGCGCAGTCAGCTGCTGCTGAAAGAGGTGCACAAGTACCTGACGGAGAGGAAGGCTCCGAGGAGCAACGTTGAGAGAAACGGCGTTATCTGGTCCTTAGTCCTGGCAGTCGGGGTCTGCTATCACGCATCCTTGGCAAAGAAGGAGAAGTATAGAAGAGCCATCAGCCAGGTCCTTCCCAATCCTTTTAATACCCAGAAGAAGATATTGGATGAAATATGCTTGATGCAGGATGTATTCCTGAGTGGCGTGCAGCTCCAAGACACCATAGCAAGAAACTTGGCTTTGAAGGAAAATGTCTTTATGATGGTCATCTGTATTGAGCTCAGAATCCCTCTCTTTCTTGTTGGGAAGCCTGGGAGCTCCAAATCCCTTGCTAAAACCATTGTGGCTGATGCTATGCAGGGCCAAGCTGCTCATTCAGATATGTTCAAGGAGCTGAAGCAAATTCATTTAGTGTCCTTTCAGTGCAGCCCTCTCTCCACTCCCGAGGGAATCATAGGTACTTTCAAACACTGCGCTCGATTCCAAGATGGAAAGAACCTGGACGAGTATGTCTCTGTGGTGGTCCTGGATGAGATTGGACTGGCAGAAGACTCTCCCAAAATGCCCTTGAAGACTTTGCATCCGCTTTTGGAGGATGGCTGCATAGATGATGTCCCTCTTCCTCACAAAAAGGTTGGCTTCATTGGAATTTCCAACTGGGCATTGGACCCTGCTAAGATGAATCGAGGCATCTTTGTCTCCCGTGGCGACCCCAGCAAAGAAGAGCTCATAGAAAGTGCAAATGGGATTTGTTTTTCAGCACGAGGGGCTTTGCAGAAGGTTGAACGGTATTTTCATTACTTTGCAGATGCATATGAAAACATCTGCAAAGCCCAAGACAGAGAGTTCTTTGGTCTACGTGACTACTACAGCCTCATAAAGATGGTTTTTGCCTTGACTAAGACCTCCAAAAGGGAGCTGACGCCTCAAGACATAGCTGAGGTTGTTCTTCGCAACTTCAGTGGTAAAGATGACATCAATCCTTTGGAAATATTCACCTCACAATTACCAGAGAAAGGAGAAATACGTGCTCAGGATATCAATAGCATTGACCTGGTGCGACAAAACATTCAAAGCAGTGATCAGGACGCTGAATGCAGGTACCTGCTGGTGTTGACCAAAAATTACGCAGCGCTGCAGATTCTCCAGCAAACTCTCTTTACTGCTCGGCAACAACCAGAAATTATCTTTGGCTCTAGCTTCCCTAAGGACCAAGAGTACACTCAGATATGCAGGAACATCAACCGTGTGAAGGTGTGCATGGAAACCGGCCAAATGGTGGTGCTTCTCAACCTGCAGAACCTTTATGAAAGCCTCTATGATGCCCTCAATCAGTACTACGTGTACCTCGCTGGCCAGAAATACGTTGATTTGGGGCTAGGTACCCACCGGGTGAAGTGTCGGGTGCATCCGAAGTTTCGTTTGATAGTCATTGAGGACAAGGACGTGGTCTACAAGCACTTCCCCATCCCGCTGATCAACAGACTGGAAAAGCACTACCTGGATATCAATACCGTCTTGAACAAGGAGCAAAGAGAGACTGTGGAAGAGCTGGAGAAGTGGGTGCACAACTTCACTGCTGTCAATACAGAAGATCCCTTCATGGGCAAGCAGAACTACAGCCCTTCTGACGTGTTTGTGGGCTACCACTCCGACACCTGTGCCTCGGTCGTCCTGCAGACGGTGGAGAGGCTGAAAGCCAAGTGCCCTGCCGAGGAGCTCATGCCCCATGTGAAGAGGCAGGCGCAGCTGGCGCTGCTCAACTGTGCCACCCCCGATGCCGTGATCCGCCTGAGCGACGCCGTGGGGCTCTTCATGGCAGACTCCCTGGCCCACATATATTTCAAGGAGCAGCAGCACACATCTTTTGCAGATTTCCTCCGAGCTCACGTCCACGCTGCGGCTGGACCTCAAACGGTCTTTACAGAGGTAAGTGTCCTGCAGAGTCCTCTCCAAACGCCCAGCTTGCGCGGTGTTCATGCCATGTCCAACCCGCGGAGGCTTGGGAGCAGCCTTGCCTTTCACTCGCTGCATCCTTGCAGTGATGTTGCTGCATCTTGAGATACCTGGAACCTCTGCTGTGTCAAGCAGGGTTCGATGCTTCCTGGGGATGAGCGGAGTTTAGGGGGAGTGTGAGTTTTAAGTAAGCCAGGCAGCTACTCACATCTCTATACCCCGAAAGTAGCTCTGTCTCTGCTTACCCGGCCAGCAAAACAGGCTGCCAGTGGCAGAAAAAATCAGTGGCAGAAAAAGTCAACCCACAAATAGGGCAGCACTACAAAATGACAGGGAATAGCAGTTCTTCCTCACGGAAATACCAAGGGCAGTGCAGCTGCTTTCTGTACGGGATGCTGCTTCTAGGTTCGGTGGGCAGGAGCTCCAAGTGTGATGGGGTGTGTGGTGGTTGGTCTTGGGCTGCAGCACAAAGCACTGCTGCTGCTCACTGAGGTCCTGAGCTCCCCAGCAGCGGCCCTGGGCTGGGCTAGCAGCTCACGGTGGCTGTTTGCTGGCTGACAAGCCAAGGAAATGGCTCCGGGACACGGCCCAGCTGCGCCGCAAGGAGCAGAGCCTGGGGACACAGGGCACTGAGTCTTTCTGCCCGCTCCGGTTCCGTGCTGAGAACAAACCTGCTTCTTGTGCTCCCAGGTCACCACCTTCTCGAGGCTTCTCACCAGCACTGACGCTGCTTGCCTGGAGAGAGAAGTGCAGGGTAAAGCTCAAAGGCTTCAGATCCTGTTCCTGCAGCAGTTTGACACGGAGTACTCCTTCCTCAAGGGGATCCGGTGAGTCTCCTTCTGTCTTGTCCTCTCAATGGGCTGTCACCTGCGTGGAAGACGCGTTGGCAGAACATTTAGAGTAGCCCATAATGGAAAGGGAGGCAGGAGAGATCATGCTGTGATGAGCTGTGCATTGGCACAGTGCAGTGTCAGCTCTGTCATGTCGAGGTGTGAGATTTGTTTTTTAAAATTAAACCACCTTAGCGGTTGAGTGTGCTAGATGTCTGTCTGTCTGCAACAAGTCAAAGCCACTGTGGAGTCACTATTTATGCCATCTCTTAAACCTTGTTTGACACTTTGTGACTTCTTTTATATCTTCTTTCTCTGCTTAGAGATTTCCTTGATGCCACACCAGGAAATAAAATCCTTATTATTCAGACAGATTTTGAAGATGGCTCTCAAAATGCCCAACTCATCGCTTCAGCCAAGTAAGTCAAGTGGCAAGTTTTTCAGATAGCTATTCTGCACAGTGACTCCCCACCCCTGATTTATTAGTGTCATTTTTAGGCTTTTCAAAACCAGGAACGTGTGCTCTGTTTTGTTGTGGTAGAGTGAAGCTAGAAGCACAAATTGTTCTTTGAATAATAATAATAATAATAATAATAATAATAAAAAAAAAAAAACCCACACCAGACCTGTGTCAAATTAACGAATAATCCCCTTTGTCTGAAGCATGAGTCGTTGCTGTTAACTGATTTAAGTGCTCAAGAACTGAGTAACAGCATTATCTTTCAAGCACAGGTGGAGGTGATGGCATCAGAACAGCTTGCTGGGAGAAAGGATTAAAGGGATTGGAGTGACTCATGTTTCTCCAGGGAAAGAAGAGCATGTCCTCTCTCAGCAAGGAAGATCTTCAGCTTTGACTTTTATGTCAGGGTCTACTAAACAGCATTTACTCTTTTTTGTAGGTACACTGTTGTTAATGAAGTCAACAAGGTAGACTTGGGAGAAGTCTCTGTCTTCATTTATTTCATTATGAAGCTTTCCAGAATGGAAGGAGGAACGTCCTACGTGGGATTCCATGGAGGTGGGTTTAACCATCAGTGACTTGTCATTGTTTGTCTTCAGGCAAGATCTGCTTTCACCAGCAAATTTTCAGCTGTCTGCTTTGGTTTCTGAGAGCCTCAAAGGCCCTCTGGTTTGCAGGGTCTCTCAGCTGAGGTAGCACGCATTAGCACGCCCAGAGCAAATTCCTGTTTGCCCTTTCTACAGCAAGAAGCAAGAGAACTCTGCGTGTTGTCTGGCAGTTCACAAACACTGGGAAATGGTTCTTGGGAAGCTCTTCTAGAAGAGCATGCTGTAGACATGAGAACTTTTTGTCCCCTGTCTTCAGGACTGTGGCAATCGGTGCATATAGATGATCTCCGCAGATCCAAGGACATGGTGTCTGATATGACTGCCCTCAAGAACCTCACCATCAGCCAGATGTTCTGCAGCGATTCAGATGAAACAAACGGTGAGCTAAATGCAGGTTACTGCCAGTTGGCAAGGTTGATACCAGTGGAGGAAGAAAGGTGAGATGGAGCTATGCTGCATTTAGTACTAATGCACCCAGTACAATAAATCTAGTGATTTCCCCTACTCAGCTTCTAATCCTTTCAGGGAATGCGCTGTGGCTACAGACTTGTATTTGTGTTTAGTCTGTTATCTTTACAGACTATGAATTTTGGGTTATTAACTTCATTAATTTGGTAGATTTCACTTTTTCTATTGACACAAACACGATGTTTGTGCTGCTGAGCACCCAGAGTGGTGCTCTCATCGTGAGAGAGAGCAAATGGTGCAAAGCTGGGCCCAGGGTGCAGCTCAGAGGTGTAATCATCAACAAGGTGTTATTCCGGAGAGTCTCTCAGCTTGCAGGAATATAGGTCATTCACATGAACCTGGAGGAAGATTATAAATGACTTTTTCTTTCCTTCAAATTTTTTTTTCCTACAATCTTTCCTGTTCCACTATTTTTCCTTACAAGAGGCAGAATACAGCTGTGATGGCTCTGTTGGAGCCTAGGAATAAGCTCTGTGTGTCACATTTCTTCCAGTTCCAACTGCATGAAGCCTGATGCCCTTAGCAGTGATAACTGTTTAGAGAGCTGCATCTCAGCTACCTATGCAAGTGATAATGCATCTGACAGATGTTCTGCTGCTCTGGGATGCGTTCTCTAAATAGACTCTTGTCTGATCACAGCAGTGAGTTGTTTCGTTCTAACAAGGATTCTACACCTTGGTTGCAGCTCTTCCCACGAATGGAAAGGAGCAGGAGGAAGCAGAGAGGGAGGTTGAACCACCGTTGCCAGAAGCAGAGAACTTTGAAGTAAGTTTGGAAAACATTTGCTTGCTTCTCAGATATCAGCATTGCTCCCTACCCTGTGTCATCCAAAGGTTCAGAGTATCTTTGACATCTGCATTCCCTTGAAATCCATCAGGAATATTATGTTAATTATTAGACAGAAGTTCCTATTGCCTAATCAAAATCTTACCTCCTTTGCTTCCCTAAAGAAGCAAACCATTCTAAGGACTCTCTAATTCCTTAGCCATTTCACATTCCTAATTTTGAGTTGCTGTCATCAATTTAAAAAAAGCTTCTGTTATCACCTTGAAGCCAAGAGCTGTGAATTCTGAACTTTATTTTTCTGAACCATTTACTTGATAACAATAGGAGAACTTAGATTTGTAGCTTGGAATGAGAGCAAAACTGGGAGGTGGAAGGCGAGTGGTACAGGCCCTTTATAGGAGAGCACTATAACCATTTTAGGAGGGATGTGTGTTTCAAGGCAAATGTACAACTGAAGAATGATGAATTTGTTTTCATGCTGTCCCTGGGAAGGGTGAAATTCTGGACACCGTTTTACTCCTGAGGAGCTGCGTGCAAAGTGCTGTGGGGATGCTGCGGGACCAAAATGAAGACTTTAGTCGCAGCACAAGGCGAATTGAGATTCTCCTTGGCTTCCTGTCCAAAAGCGATGATTTGAAAGGTATGTGCTCCCAAGCTGCAGCAGGTAGAGTCCCTGAGCACCTGGGGCTTGGTGCTCTCTGCTCTGCTGTGTGTGATGTTTGGGTTTTGATCCAGAGGTGATAGAAAAGGAAAACGCAAGGTGTCTTGTGTTTTCTAGCCTCTTTTCTGAAGATAACCAAGAGTCGCCTTTCCACGCTTTTGAAGAAGCAAGAAGAGAGTTTGTTTCACATGAGAAACTGGGTGCTTCGGGAGGCTTCCAACCTCAGTGCTCTCCAGGAGGCAGGCACCTTCAGGTGAGGACGGCAGCAATAGCTTGTAACCTGCAAGATTCCAAGAGAAATATCCCAATGACAACTGCTCGGCAGACACAGCAGTTTTGGGCAATCTAAATACTTGCAGCATTCATCTCAAACCTATGGTGGATGCTCTGAGGGGAGTTTTGTCCTCTCCTGGCTCCTGAGGGAAGGCGGCTTAGAGCTGAATGGACTGCCCAGGGAGAGGGATGTGTTAATGTCCAAGTGCTTGGAATGGAGCAGTGGGTTTACAGGGAAGGCACAAGTGAGAGAAGGGTTGTGGTGGTGGTTGTTGTGCTTGTGTGTGTGTATGTGTGTGTCTCTCCTTTCTTCTTTTGCTTTTCAGGCAGAATTAGCATTCTTTATTGCACCTACAAATCAACAATTTCTCAGGAAAATCATCTGCTGCCTTGCAGAGATCATTGCCCCCTCTCCCTCTTTATCCCTTTCTCCCCCAAAGGCACACCCTGTGGAAGCGAGTCCAGAAGGTGGTCACCCCGTTCCTGGCTCTCCTGATAGCAGTTGTGGACAGGAACAGCAATCTGGAGCGGTTGGTGAGGCCCGCAGCGGAGTGGGTGACAAACCTGTGGATGTTCGTGTTCAGCGACACCGCTCTCCTCACTGTCCCTGACGGCGTGGGCAAGTCCGGGTGAGCAGAGAGCCACGGGAGGGCTTGCCTGGCGGCGTGGGGACCAGGCAGCGGTGACTTTAAATCCATACGGGAGGTTAACGTGTTGATTGGCTTCCTATGCAGCAGTTAGGGACTTCAGGAGTCCTCTCTTTTTCTGCTGAATCCTGTGTACTCCTGGGCTTTACTGTCTAGGTCTTGCACATATTTTTTTACCCATCCCTTTTTACCCATATGCCCTGATATTACAGCCCTTTTGCTAGGGAATGCTTACTGAATCATTCCTAATATTACCTAATTGTGAGGAAAGGCTATGTGGGTGAGTCTCGGTTCTTCCCTCATCCCTTTCTACAGCTAAACTCTTGGTTTCTGGTGCTTCCTGCCACTGAATGTGTTTCCCAGGCAAATGCTCAGGGCATTAATGACCTTTTAATCTCCTAGTTCTCAGACAGAGATAATTCTGGTTCAGAGCAACATGTTTTTTGCTGATGCTGGGAATGAGATGCCCTTCAGCTGGAGGATAAAGGAGTACTTGGATGACATGTGGCTGGAAGCTCAGTACATTCAGAGCACTGAAGGTGAGATGCTGGCTGGAACCTGCAAGGCAGAGCAGCTCCATCCTTCTGCCCTGTGAACTCCAGCTTGTCTCTGCCTTCCTGCAGTGCTGGACTCACTTTCGGTTCCTCTGTGCTTGCATGACCAAGCAGAGTTCTGTGCACCTGACTTTTCCTTGTGCTTCTGCATATTAGCATTTCTCTTATTCTGTGCCCTTGTATTGAAAATACTGTGGCATTATCAAGAATTAGTCAGTGTTACAGAACCAGAACTAGACGGGTTCCTGGGCTGAGAAAGTCTAGCCTCAAATCCCTTGCTAGCACACTTGAGGTAGTGTTGTATGCATCAATTATTAACTTGGTAGAGTCCTTTTAGGATAGCAGCTGTGTCAAACTGTTCTTCCTGATATTCAGCTTTTCTCTGTATCCTCATTTTCCAGATGAAGCCGAGAAGTTTATGAATATATTCCAGAGAACACCACTGGGAAAATTTATATCCAGTCTGACTGAGGAAGAAAGGAGCATGCTCTTCCAGTCCTACCTCACAGATTTCATTGTGTTGACCATTGATGTGTCTTCTCTAGAAGAGCAACAGGTCAGAGTCTGGAACAAGAGTCATGAACCTTTTGGACAGGGAGAGCATAATGTCTGTGAAAAGGCCCTCTGTACCAAACTCACCATCTGGTCGGTAAAATTCCTTCTTTCAGAGACAGGCTTAACAGCAGGTGCCACAAGGGAAGTGCACTTGACATAGAATGACTGCTGAAACTCCTGAGGTCTTCCTCAAAAAAGCACTTCTGCACGAGCATCTATAGCAACTGCCACATTATTTAAGACTATCTTCTTTGTAAAGTACTGATTCCCCTGTTTCAGAGGCTTTTATCAAGCTTTCTGATACAAAATGGCTTAGAACAATTTTTTTATTTAGTTCTGACTTTATTTACTTTCTTGTAAACTTTCAGTGTCTGCAAACTGCCTTCTTATCCTGCATAGAGGAATGGAAGGCAGCATCTCCCAGAAGACAGGAGACGGTGCCGTCCTTGCCCTGGGTCCACCTTGCATACAATCAGTTTAAGAGCCGTTTGCAGAACTTCTCTAGGATCCTGGCTGTACATCCGGCTGTGGTGGACCACATTATTTACCAGGAACCAGAGTCAGAGATGGTAAAGTTATTACTACACATCTTCTGTTCTTCAGTCCTAGTAAAAAAAGCACTTTGTCTTCCCTGATATTATCTAGTGTTCAAACTCCTCATTTCAACAGCATTAAAAAATGGGAAGCACAAGCCCAGCCAGGATCCTTACTATTATGGACAGTGTGCTATACGATCACTCTAGTAAACTGTCCTGCTCAACTAGCAGTGTTATAATAGTTGGACATCTTTCATGTGATCCGAGTCCTGAGCATGTATATTCCAGAGTTGAAGAAAAACAAATAAAACATTTAGTATAACACTTGCTCCAGCAAATCAGACAGGGCCCGAAGTTGATAAATACTTCTAAAATACAACTACAATGCTATACTCACAGTCTGTGTATGCACATGTAGGTTTTAGATGTGTTAGCTGCCATGGTTTGTGCTGAAAAGCTGGAGAAGCAAGTGCAGACCGACAACCTGGAGATGTGGCTGCAGGAAGTGAAGAACCTTCATATGCCCATTGAATTTCTCTGTAAAGAGGACTTGCAAAGCAGTGGACGACGGTGCCAGCAGCTGCTAAAGGAGCTGAAGTATGTACCAGGGATCTGCTGCAAGCTTTATCCTATGCCTTGCTGTTAGGATGTATACCAGTACAGACTGAAGGCTGCTCTGGTACTAGCGTTCTCAGACTAAGATTTCACAAACCTTCCAGGCTGAATTATGTATCTCACGTCAAGAACCAGTTTTTATTGGCTGATTTGTTGTGTTTCTGTTCTTTTCTCCTAGCTAGCTGTTTAGCTGTTACCCAGTTTATTCTAGGTGCCTTCAGGACTTATTTAAAACCCTCATTAGGTTGCTCTTTTTCAGCATTGTGTCCCCTCTCCATGACTTGTGCATAAAGACTGAGAGATAAAGAACTTGTCTGTATCTAAGGCAGAGTCTTGTCTCTTGCATGGCAAGCTCACGGAGCTGCTTCAGTTTCTCACACAGTTTAAGCTAATAGTGAAGAAAATTAAACAGACACAAAAAAAAGTTAATTACTTCCTCTAATACAGGAATTGGAGGTGAGGAAAAGGACTTTCCAATGGTTTTAATTCTGTTGTATGACTCTCTACAGGCATGACTCTTACACCATGAACTACCTGTGTTAGGTACTGTATAGACACTTGCCAGGTTCTGCCTTAGGGGCTGCTAACCAAGCTGGCAGGGGTGGGGGAGGGCCTGGGGGATGCAAGAGGCTGTCCTGGTGAGCCTGGAGAGCCGTGAGATCATTAGACTGGTTGGATGCTGCACGTCCTTTCCTCTCCTGTGTGATCAGCTCACAACTCAGACTTGTCACAACGCTCTCCTTCCACAGAGTCTATTGGAACCGGATTTTCTCTATGTCTCTGTTTGTGCAACATGTGCTACTGGGTATCAACTCTCTGATGCCAGAATTTGAGAGCATGATGAAAAAATACACTTTACTGCTTGCCAAGGTAAGCCAAGATGGGATTTCGATTTCATTTACCCTTTTTTTGTTGTTGTTGTTTCTTTTGTTTTGTGTTTTCTTTTCTTTTCTTTTTTCCTTTTTTCCCCCCCTCTGGAATGGCAGTGTTGACTCATCTAACGTTGTCTCTTTTCTGCTCAGTGTTTTACGCAGGATTCGGACATGAAGAGTCATCCAACTTTTATTGCAGTGATGAAAGTACTGTGTGAGTGTAAGGAAGAAGTCAGTAGCAGGCTCTGCAGGTACCTTTCCTGAAGCAAGCTGTGGGTTAGCAATAGCAATATTGTCTGTTATCTTCATGTTTTGGGGTATAGAGCACTGTTGCATTCGGCATAGTGAAAGCCAGATGAAAAGCAGTAACTTCCATCTTCTCCTCCCTGAAGCTGAGTAGTTAGCTGGCAAATTGACAGTATCTCCTCTTAGCCTTGCTTCAGATGAACTTCTTTCAATGTTGTCTTACTAAAAACCTTTAAACAATTGTGTTCATTGCTGTTCCTGAATTACAGATTTGGTGTGAGTCCATGTCCAGTCTGCCTGGGAGAGCCCAAGGATCCAGTATGCCTTCCTTGCCACCACGTGTGCTGTCTGAAGTGCATCCGAGCATGGCTAGTACCGGCACAAATGCTCTGTCCACTTTGTAAAGTTGCCGTTGAGACTGTTGACTTAACTGTCTCTGCGGAGCTCAGGTATCCCTTCCCATCTAAGGGGGCAATGGGGACAGCAAGGGGTGGACAACAGGGCTAGATCTGTTGGGAAATTCTGACTTGTCCTTTGAAGCCATCAACGTAAGCAGAACAGATGGAAATAACTCTGGAGCTGTTTACGGGTCTAGAACAGGTCCTGTCTTTTTGCTGCTTGTTGCTTCAAAGAAGGGAGGAAATTACCTTTCCCCTGTAAAGCTCAAGACTGTCAGCGGCTTAATCAGGCAGCGGGACTGCTTGTCACCTTACACTGCCTGTGATAGCTAAGCAAGGAACTTGCAGTATATGTATCTGGTGTCACTGATACCTAAGATCACAAATGGCGCTTGAAGGCAACGCTGTGGAAGTGTTGCATAAATCAGGACTTGTGGAAAGCGGGAATGGAATCTCACTTTGGTGATTTTTCCCTATATCTGCTTTATTTGATCTGTTATTTAATTGGTTCTGTGTTCTAATATATTTGTGCTAATGCTTTTCACCCTTCTCTTAGTATCGCCATAGAAAGAAACGCCCAGTTCCGGCAGAGATGCAATAATTTCTTTATAGATGTTGTCACTACCATGTGTTTCAAGGACAATGAACCCCCCGAGGCAGCAGTGATAAAAGAGCTCCTTAATCTCTTGTTTGTTCACAAGAACCTTTTGCAAGATTCAGGTGAGCATCCTTCATCCTGACTCTTAGCCTCATGGTATCAGGTCTCTTGCCGGATTCTCTCTCCTGATAATCCTGCCTCTTCTTTAACTCTGCAGGTCCTCCTGCTGTCTACACAAAGTTTCTATCCCCGTTTAATGATGAGGTGGATGCAACTCCTGTCATACGCTCGATAATGCTGAAGCTCCTCCTGAAGTACAGGTGAGCACAGTCAGACAGGTATTAAAGGACTGTGTGTTATGTTGGGGGATGAAGTTTGTTTTTATCTTTCATGACGACCGTGGTGGTTTTCCTCACTCCTGCGTTATTCACTAAAATTAAGTCTTTACAGGAGAAATGAATCTTCTTTGTTCTGGTCCTGCAGATTGTCTACACACAATGCCTGTCACAATGACACAATTCCTAGTTAGATCATGATTTAGGACACAAGTAGTGGCCACGTCATTGCAGCTACGTTAAAGGAATGTTTCTCTCTCCTGTAGCTTCAATGAAGTGAAAAATGATGTGCAAGATTACCTAGTGAGGGTAGAACAAAGCCAAATCCTGGATAAAGGTGATAAGAAGGAACTCTACTTGCTTTTTGTCAACTGTTTGGAGGTAAGACTGTAGGTTGGGGAAGTCCTGGGCAATGAAACTTACAAAAGAGAGGCAGGAATATACCTTCTTCTGTAATTTTATGCTTATTTCTTGTGTAAATAACTAGTTGTCCAACTAGAAAGTCCAAAAGTAAGATTACATTGAATCACTTTTCAGAACTGTTCTGTGGTAGCTAGTCTTGCTTTCCCAGGGTAAGGCTGGTGTTTGCAGCATTATATAAATTCTTCTTTCTGATTGTTTCCTTTGTTTCAAATGGTTTGGACAGGTGCCTACGAATAATTAGGTGAGGCCAGATACGACCAAACTTCATCAGTTAAGAGTGCAGCAAGTAGGGAATTTTTTTAACTACCACTGTGGAAAACGAATACTTTGCAAGATTTTTAGATCATTGTGCTCCCTCTCCTTGCATATTTTTTAAACCCTTTGGACAATTGCAAATGAACTTGACAGCAGAGGTTTTGTTTCCTCTAGTTTTAATTAAAGATAGTGATTTTGTAGATAAGAAGTATCCTGAAACATGTGTTCAGCATGTGTTTGGGCAGCCAGCATGCTCATAACTGTCTTGCTCTGCTGTATGCTTAGGGAATATGGGAGGGAGCTTGGGTCTATTGCCCAAGAAGTGCTGGCACCTGAGAGAGGTGAAGATAGGGACCTGAGGATCACAGGTAGGAACTAATGGCTTTGGAGTGGAGTATGTGGTGAGAGGCATGAACGTTTAATGCACCTATGATGCGAGAATGCGCTGGGATATACGGTGCAATAGCACAGGATATCAGATTTAAGTAGTTCTGCCATTCATGCAGTGTCTTCACCCATCTGTAGGATTCAATCTGTGAGAAGGCCGAAGGCGGCTTTGGATACGATCATGCAAACCATCTGCTGAGAGACAGAGGCTTTCCCGAGAACTACCTCCCAAAGAGCAACCAAGAAGCTCTTCAGGAGTCGTCTGTTGAATACCTGGAGGCAGTAGCCAAGGTTCGCCTGTACCTAGACAGGGCCACAGAGCTGCTTTCTGACTTGTGTGGGCCTGCAGGTAGGTCAAATTATTGCACTATCAAAGACTGAATAAAGTCACTATGGGAGATGCACTAGACTCTTATCAAAGGTCTGTTGCTGTTACAGAACTTGTGTTGACGTATGGCCGAGAAAAAGCTCGTTAGCTCCTTCCCTTTTGCTTTCCCAAGGAGCGTCAGTCAGTATTTGTCCTCTTTACCATGCATTAGAAGTGCTCCATTTCTGGCAGAAGGGCTGTGCCAGTGGCCCCCAGGGGTATAATTATGTAGTCCTGCTTTTGCAAGGAGATTTTTTTTATCCTGCGGGCACTAATAATGAAATTTTCTTTATAAGAGACCATATTAACTTAAATGAATAAAGTGTAAGTGAGGCTTCAGATACATGACTGCTGTTGAGACTCTTTTTATATGTATGAGAGCTCTGGGTAGCTAAAAAGGAGAAAGATACTTCCAGAAAATAAGTAAATGAAGAGCTGTGATGAATTGCTGACCCAATAAGGGTGATAATGTGTTGAGAGGAGCCTCAGAGAGATTTCAATGGTCTGTGAAACATCGAAGTACAGTAATGCAATGAAATCCAAATGCCTGCAGTGTCCAACTGTTGCAGTGAGACTTATTTTGTTCCTTTCCCTCCAGAGCAAGATCACGTGAAGGAGAAGCAGCATTACCTGGCAAACGTGAGGACGTTCTGCAGCCTCAGCAAGAATGACTGGCATAATGTTTATCTAGTGCGGAAAATTGCTAACCAGTATGGGATGGAATTTGTTCAAAAGCTTGTGATGGAGGCACAGTTTAAATGGGTGTTCCCAGTGGAAGTTCTGGAACAGGTAAAGAGAAGTTTTGGGTGGGGTGTGTGTGATTTTTGTTGCTCCTTCTTTCCCTTGGAGATGGCTCCTCTCTCTTCAGTTTGTTCTACCTTTGCGTGTTTCTCACGTTGAGTGTTACACGGCCCTGGGACACTCACTGTAGCGGGCACGGTTGTGATGAAGACCTGCCCGTGCTCTCCCCTGAATGGAGGTTGAGCAGTGTGAGGTTTGGGCTGCCAGACCTGCCTGTTGCCTGTTAGTAAAGGCTGAAAAGGCACATCTGCTTGCAGAGAGCAGGGTCCTCCTTTTCTAGGATCCATGCAGAGCTCACCACGGGCTTTTCTCTTCACAGATAGAGCACAATGAGGCCAATCAAATCGATCGGTACCTGGCATGTGGCAAGGACTACCGAGTCCTGCGTGAGGTGGTGGGGAAGGCAATGATTGAATGTAAGACTGAGGCTCTTCTACAGGCAGAGAAGGTAGGACAGTCCTTTCTGACCAACCGTTTCTCCTCACCAAAATCTGCGTGAGGGTTCTGGAGCATCAGCATATCATCTTTGTGTGGTTTTGTTGACAGCATTGTCTCCTAGTGGAGATGCCCAAGTTGCCTGTGCTTACAGGGTACCGTGACTTTCCTTGGCTGGGTCAAATATTTGGTTTTGTCATTTGTGCTCCCGCATATGTAACACAGGTTATTTCTGTCAGCTGCTCATTCTTACTTCTTTCCCCGTTAAATATATATTGCAGCAGTTGGTTTTACAGCCAGCATTACACACACCCTGTTGGCAATTGATAGGAGAGCAGGCAGATCTTGGTGCAGGTTTGTGCCCGCTCCCTGTCTGCCTGTGTCTCCCTAGCCTTGTGCTTTACCATGCTAATTTCTGTACGATGATAACCATAACATAGTCCAGAAGCTCCTGACATAAAAAGAAAACACAATCAGCTTGATGGCTGTCAGATAAACCGTTCATTTATGGCTTGAATAGCCATATGGTGCAGTTGCCTTCATGAGTGGGCAGAGCTTTACAGTGGGCCTGCTAAAGCATGCGTGGCCAATAACCGAAGCCTTGTGAAAGCTGAGCTTTGCCACTTGTAGCCTCTTCTCCACTGCATCATCGGTCCTTTTTTTCAGGCACAGAGCAGGTCCCCTCCTGCAAAGGCTGTCCACCTGCTCCTGGCTATTTTCAGAGAAGTCACTGCCTTGTATGGAGTCAGTAACGCAAATCTTCACCCCAAGCAGCGGGTAAGATTCGTCACTATGGAGGCTTGGGACAAACAGGCTTCACTTGCAAGGATAAGTCAAATTTAAATTACTCGTAGAAGAACCTGTTGTTGTTTTGCCTTAAACATAACTCCATCCTGATCTTGGCTGTTTTGAAGATAATTTTCAATGCAGTAGGAAGACAGCATGACAAGTAGCTGCTAGTTCTCTCCAGTTTGATGTGTAATCTCATGTTGATTTTATTTCTTTTAAATCTTTTTTCAGCAAATTGATGTTATGACCCAGTTCATTGAAAACTCTGAAGTCCTGAGTTCTCAGGAGCTGAAGAAGTTTGCAACATCTCTCGTGAAGAACGCCCTGCCATCTCTGACAGTGAATCCTCAGAGCTTCAGCCACAACGGGGCGTTGGTTGAGATGGCTGTTCACGCCGCAGCTGTCTTGCTGTGTGGGCAGAACCCCATCCTGCAGCCCCTGAGAAATCTGGCGTTCCACCCGCGCACCATGAGGGTGAGGACGCTAGCTCAGATGGTAGTTCTGTCTATTACTGCTTGCATGCATGAGTTGGATCATCTGGAACTTAACCTTTCTTAACACCAAAAGACACCAACTCATGTATTGGCCATGAATTCCTGTTGGGTGATTATTTCAGCATTGCTAGGATTAATTAGCACTGTGACAGACTCTGGACTGGTGCTTCTTTGAGGTGTGAATTTTCCTCTTAAGTGTATTTGGCAAATGCTGTTGTTGAAATTTCAATAAGCAATTCAAGGTAGTTGGCAGGTCATGCTGTGGAGATCTGCGTGTTCTAGAGGATAGTGCCTTATGGAGCCCTGCACTTAAAATGGAGGGATCTGCTGATGTATTTTTTTCTGGCACACCAAAGGTACGTGAGACCTCTCCAAGAGGAATATCTAGTTCAGCAAGTCCAGAGAGCATCCATCCAAATCTTCACAATATTGACAGCTTATTTTTAAGAGTAGCTTTTCACAGGTTGAATTTGAAAACATACATCATGTTTTTCCCTCTGCAGTGCCTCTGCTTGCAGACATCCCTCACTGTCCATCGTGAGCAAGCAGGGAACAGCTGCTACAGTAAAGCACTAATTTGTATAATTATTTGTCACCATTTTTACCCCTTAGCACTCTTTTCTACCTACAATGCCAGAAGATATAACGGCCGAGGCAAAGGGCTGGGAAGGACTGCACGCTCTGCGCTGGTACAGTAAGTATGCCTGCCTTTCTGTGGGAGAAATGAAGAATCCTTGTTTTTTGTGTGAAATGTAAGGTCAGATACTCTGCTCTTCTCATCATGAATTATGCTTTGTAATAAGAGCTGTAGCTGCCCTTCACGTGGATACTGCACCAGAGTTCATTGAGCTCTACTTAGCCTTGAGCTTATAGCTGTCTGCAAAGTTAAAGACTGTAAGGGCCCGACCCTGGTGCTTTTGGCCATTAGAGATGTGAGCAGAAGGGGAGTACTTTGCTGCTTTCAATTCTTTGTTTTCTTTATTAGGATTTAGTGCAGACTAGAGGCATTCTTGCTTATCAGCCCCATTTGGTACTTGGTAGTAAAATCTTACAGGTTTGCATTCCCTCTTGCTCAAGAAGGGGAACTGAAAATGAAAAAGTCCTGGAAAGTGAACACTTCTGGTTTTTGTGTGGCCTGATGCCTCTTTGAGGGTGTCAGTGCTTTCCCTTAGATCTTGAGGCATATTTCTTACTACATGGGCTCTATAAAAGATGTTCCCTATGGAAGGAAAAGAGTCTTTAAAAATGCGTGTCTTACAATGCTCTCTGTTTCCCTTTTGATAGCCTGTCCAAATGGCCACCCCTGCACTGTAGGAGAGGTAAGAATCGGATGAAGTAGGTGGTTCATTAACAACATTAATCTGTTTTACATTTTCTTATTCTTACTGCACAGTGGTTCATTTTATAAACTGTTATTGATCATTTGCTGTTGCAATGTAAAATGTAGAGTAACTCTAACTCGGCTATACCATAAGTTTAGGTAACAAGGCAGGCAGAGGCCCTCTGCCTACTACATAGCAGTTTTTAATTAACCAGTTATAGCTCGACATATTATGAATTAGCAGACAGAAATGGAAGCTGTTACAGATATGGTTAGCAGCTTTTATTTGACAAAAAAAACCCACCTCTCTATAAAAGAACAATTTACTGTAAGAATGGAGGAGTAAAACAAAGGGTCTTGCATGAGTAAGGTGCCTCCTGGTGCCTGGTTTGGAATATGCATTTCCTCTGGTCTCCTGCTTCTCTTGCAGAGATGCTCTTGGTGTTCAGTGTTTCTCATTTGTCTTTGCCAGTGTGGCCGTCCCATGGAAAGGAGCCGCTGTCTTGACTGTGGTGCCGTAGTTGGAGGGGAAAACCATAAAGCAGTGCCTGGCTTTGCGGATTTCCGGTACGCTCTGCGTCCTTTACTCCTGAAAAGATGGATGAAGCAACTTACCTTTTGCCTGGGAAGCTGGGTTTAACTTTCCATCCCTCTGCTCGTGCAGGAAGATGGTGCGGCTCTGTGCTGACACAGACTAATAGGCTGCATTTTCTTGGACTACTAGTGTGACTGAAGAGCTTCTACCAAAGCTCCAGTGACTTGTCTCCCTTCCTCAATTCCCCAGATTAGCACCTCCACTCCGTGTGCAAAAGCACCAGCATTACTGATTCTAACAGCGGTAGCTTCTTATCCCTCCTGCGTGGAGACGACTGATCTTGTCCTTCAGGGCAGGACACTGCCTCTTTCATATCTGTGAGGAAGGAAAATGTATAGGGAAGACATGTCCGAGGAAAGCAATCAGCCAGCAAAAATAAGGGAATTGTCTTATTTATGTACAAAACAGGCAGCCATTTTCCAGTATAGCACTTTTTATCGGTGTCTTTTGTAGCATTCAGAAAACTTATGGAACAAAAGATTTTATTGGGTATCAAAGACTTCTTGGGTATCTTCTGTTAAGGTACATGGTGACTTCTTTTTTCTTACAACAGGAGTAATGAGGACAGAACTCAGGCTGGCCACGTCCTTGGAGATGTACAACGCAGAAGAACCATGGGAGTGTCTGATCGGGCCATGTCCCCCGTAGTCTTCCTTCTTGTACGCTTGCTCACACATCTGGCAATGCTGCTGGGAGCCACAGAAGAGCCTCAGGTATCGCCCAACACTTGTTGTGAGTGGCCACGTGAAAAGCAGAGCCCCTCTGAATGGTGGAGGTTCTTTGGGGTCCTGTGGTTTAATGACTAGGGCAATGATTTCAAAAATCACTTTCTGTCCTGCCTAGGGGGGATTTGATTTCTTTATACCCTCTGAAAGAGGTTGAACAGTGCTCTAATTTCATTTTAATGAGGAATTTCCTTGGCCATTTTACCATTGTAGAGTGGAGGTGGGAGCTGCTGGAGCAGCACTGCTTTTCTTCCAATGATAGAGACTGGTGCTTCACTGCCAACATTCCTGCCTTTTTATATGTTCCTACAGTTCAAGTACTAGGAATCTGGTAGTATAGAGCTGAGAATCCCTCGCGAGGGAGTGCAGCTCTGCATGCGTTTGGCTAGGACTGGACATTCCTGGCTACGCTCACTTTTGCCTTTTGTTCTTGAAGTCATTGGAGGAGATGATCAAGCCCCCAGTGCAGAACCCGGTAAGCTTCCTGCAGCAGCATATTCAGGAGGACTTGGCACAGCTGACAAAAGTTCTGGGGAAGAGTGTGGATGAGACTGTCAACATCCTTCATCTTCTGCTGGACAGCCTCCTCAAAGATCCCCATCAGCACCAAAACCAGTGTAAGGAAAAATGCCAACCATCTACAAACTATGAGAGCATTTAAGACACATCACCCAAGAAGCAAATGTTATTCACTCTCCAAATAGACTGAAAAACTTGGCCTCTTAATACCTCTGAACTTGTTATTGGCTCATTAGACTTGCAAGAATATTATGCTTCAAAGCTTAGAGAACTTGAATTTTCTTTCAACTGAAGTATTACAAACATAACACTTCATAAATTCTCTTGTTGCAGGGCCAGTTCAATTTGATGCTGTGCTTTCCACCAAACAGAGGAGGAACAAATGGGAAGAAATTATTGTAAAAACAGTTATTCTTCCTGAATTGAAGGTGAGAAATATGTATAAAAATCTTAAAATTCAGGCTATTCAAAGACCATCTATCTTCAGATCGGACTTGCTCTAATACCCGTGCACACCACTATTCCTAAGCTCTGTCCATATATGACAGGTTTGCAGGTTAACTTTCACTTACTCTCAGCTAGTCACTTCCATGTGAAAGATAACCAATGTGGAAGCTGTAGAGAGGGCCATAATTTATTCTATCAACTACTCGGTCAACCTTATTCAACCTTTGACAATAAGGATCAAATACTTAGATTATGCTCTAATGGACTTGCATAGGAAGGCAGAAGTATCATAGCCCAGCTAAAACTGTTCGTTTTATGTGTTTAAATGCGTCAGTGGGCCCATTTTTGCCCAAAGAATAAGTTTATGGGATTAAAAAGGTGTCTTACAGTATGTGTTTTACAAACGCTGCCTGGAATTCATCTTCTGCTTTGGTGTATTTGTGTGTTAATTGGTCACTGAGCTGCCAGGGAAGTAGACTTCAGTGGAGGTTCAACATTGTGGGATGCTACTAATTCTGTTTTGATTTCACTTTTTTTTTTAATTAATTCAGGATTTAGATAAAAAGCTTCTGGAGCTAAATAAACAAATTCAAGAGGATGAGAGAATTTCTTCCAATCCAATAGTGAAAATAGTATATGGTGACCCTAGCACCTTCCTGTCCAAACTGCCAAAGCAGAGTCACATACACCACTCCAAGATGTGGAGCTGCCGAAAGAGGATTTCGGTGGAGAACCTGGGCCATGTAGTCCAGCAAAAGAGTGCCAAGGACGCTGTGCCCCTCTTGTGCAAGTTCCTGCAGAAGGTGAGTGTGAGACAGAGGCCTGAAGACCTTCACCATGAGGGTATTTGCCCAGTGGCCCTGTATCCCATCCAGCAAGAACTTGAAGAGAGTCAGTAACTGGCTACACTGGGCTAAAGCAGAGCCATGATGCTGGCAAGGCTGGGGAGAAAGGCGGTCAAACTTGAGAAATCTTTGATAATATAGTGCCTTTTTCTGATATTTTCTGTAATCTTGAGAGAGGTGCACGTGTAAGACAGTTTTTAATGATTTATTAGGAGAAAAAAAGAACTCAAGTAGGCAATGTGGTTTTTCCAAGGACAGTCTCATTCTTAGATCCCTTTTCCCCTTCTAGGAAACGGAACTGAGGCTGGTGAAATTTCTACCAGAGATTCTGGCTCTTCAGAGGGACTTGGTGAGACGATTTCAGAACACCACCCTTGCCAAGCAGTGCACGATCCAAGACTTCCTCAACGAACCCTGCTCCGGTGAGACAACTTTGCCAAAAGCCTAATTAGTGAAACAGGGAAGTGCTTCAGAGAGATTTCCTGGATAGCTCGGATAGTTCGAAGCAAAAGGGAAAGCTTCTCTTAAACTTTCAAGCTTAAGCCCTCATATTTTGCTTTTAACTTCTTTACTTTAACTACTCCAAATGAACTGGAGATCCAAACTCCAGTCTCCTGCTTGAAAAAGTCACCAACTGATTTTTAGGAGGATGTTGGCAATGGAAGGATGTTCACAAGGGGTGCAGGCTGTGTGCAGAGGTAGGTAGAAACAGAAGACATGTAGGTTTCTAAGTTATACCCTAGATTAGTGCCTGCTTAGTAGGTGTGATAGGTGTTTATCCCCTACATTCATGAGCAAACTGATATTTTGTGGTATCTCCTTCAATCGTTAAGGAATAGTGCTTAAAGGTTCAAACCAAAAATACATCTAGCCTTGTAACCTGGGCCAGTGGTGGATGAAAATGGAAGGATAGAAACCAACAGAGCAAATTATTCAACTTGGTAATATTAGGAAACTGTTCAGTGTACATTTTAGATGCTTTTGATTTGTCTGAGCAGTTGGTTAGAATTCAGTGTGCTTTTAAAAATCCTCCCGTGCAGTAGAGTTTGTGTTGCTGATAAAAGGTGTTTTAAGGATTCCTGTTTTTGATCTTCCCCAGATGTGATGAGGGACCTTTGGCAGAGGAGAACAAATGTGTTTCTGTCTGTCTGGAACAAGTTGAGGAGGTCGCTGGATACCAACGGTGAGACCCTCCTTTCCAGCCCTGTTTGAGAGTGGGGACGAGAGGCTGTCGCTGCTGCCAGGACAGGAGTCCCCTGTTACCCTTCACAATCCAGGCCCTTCCCATCAGCGACGCTGGGATGTAGCAGCAAAATTGACATTTTTAGACCTCCTTAAAAAGGTTAAGCAGGTCTAGGTGGAAATGGAACAATTTGTTTCCCTCTTGTAGCTTTCCCTCTGAAGCTTTTTCTTTTAGCACTTACGTGATAGAAAGAGCTGTGCTCAGTTGATCTGTTTTAGGTTAGGAGACTCTGCCCCTCAAGGGCTTCTCTGCTTCTTATTTTCAGGGGAGATTAAGCTTCCTAAAGGCTACTGTGATGCTGACCTGACCCTGGATAGCAAGCTGGAGGTGCTTCTGCCACGTCGACAGGGACTGGGCCTCTGCTCCACGGCCTTAGCCAGTTACCTCATTAGCCTGCACAATGACTTTATCTACTCGGTAAACAAATACATCAAGGAAGACAGTAGGTGTGTTGCTATGCCAGCTAGGCGTTGTTCTGTGGTACTACCTGCTTCATAAAGGTTCCTGCCTCTAAAAGGAGGGCTTTTCCCCTCGTCTGTAGGTACTTCATCAGTCCCTCAGAGGTGGCTGACATGCACTTGATCAGTTATGAGGTGGAGCGGGACCTCATTCCTCTCATCTTGTCCAACTGCCAGTACAGCATGGAGAAGGGAGGGGAGACACTGCAGGACTTTGATCTGGGAAGGATCCAGCAGCAAATCGTCAGCAAGTTCCTGCAGGGGAAGCCATTCATCACCCTCACGGTAGGACAGTGCAGCTAGCTGCGTTTTCTGCAGTCAGCTTCTTGGCTTGCACTGGAGCCCTGCATTGTCTGCTGCAGCCACGCCAGTGCTGTAGCAGGCTTAGCAATGTTAGCAACACTAAAAGCTGTGGATTTCATCCCAGATTCCTCTCTCCTGACAGGGAATACCCACCCTTGTTTACAGATATGATCGGAATTACGAACAGCTGTTTGATGATGTCAAGAATAAGTTGGATCAGGTGGGTTTATGCAAAGGAAGAAACAGGACAAGCAAGTGATCCTTGGCATCTCTGAGTGTCGAGGTTGTCTTGTGGCTCTTGGCTAGCTCATCTGCAATAAAGGCTCTTCTGCCAGTCTTTCTGCATGCCTCAAAAATGTGCAGACTGGCCTCTTTCCTCAGTCGGGATTTGTAAAGCAGAGGGGAGAGGGTTAAGCCTTTATGGCTTCCTGGACTTGAGGCTCTGCCTGCTTTGAGGGCTTCAGCAGCTTGAGTGGCAAGAAGGAATGGATGTAAGGTAATACCTGTAACTGTTTTGACCTCTTGTTTTTCAGAGTTCTCTTCCCAGTTCTGTGATAAACACAATCAGTGGAGAACTGCTCTCCTATAGTGATGTCTGTGATGCTCTGTCTATCATTGAAATTACACTGGGATTTCTTGCCATGGCTGGGGGGAACCCTGAAATGCTTCTGACTGACTACATAACAGAAGTTCTGCAGATGGATGATCAGACAAATCCTCAGGTGCTGCAGGTGAGTCCAGAAAGCAAAGCTTTTATTCTTATGGGATAAAATCTACACTGGTTTATACAAAAGCCAGCCTAATCTCCAAGCTCAGTAAAAGTTCAGCTTTAAAAAGTGTGTGTTCCCTCCCCACTGTATTTTACAAGAGAGAAGAAAACAATTTTCACTTTCACTGCAACAAGCACTTGCAAGATGGGAACACCATATAGCTCAGGGTGCTTAGCAGGTTCTAGCGAATTCCTGCAGAAAGGTCAAGTGCAGGATGCTCAGATTGAGCTCTCGTGTGCAGATCCTCCCCCTCCTCCACCACAGCGAGGGCTCTGTCCCAGGGGTGACAGCATAACTGGGTGTCATGCTGAAACTGAGCAGAAGACTCAAGGAGGAGGAAGTTCCACTATTGAGTCAGCTTTCTCCCTGTCTTATCCCCTGCTGCAGTTGGGACCTGCATGGGCACAGTGGTAGGAAAGGAGAGGTTCCTAAATACAACTCTCCCATCCAGTTTTCATTCATGTATCTTTCAGACCCTCAGGAGATGCCACCTAAAGCACAGCATAGCCTTATGGCAACTGCTCTCTACCCGCAAGTCGGAGCAGCTGCTGCGCCTCAAAAGAGTAAGAACACAGTTAACCTCAGGGTCCATTTGGGCCTTTCCTCTTTGCTAAATGAAGCCGCTTACAGGATGCATTTTTCCTCGCCTTATCTTTAGGATCCTTTTGAAGACATCAATCCAGCCTACAAAGATGAGCTTAGCCCAGAGCTTGCCAAGCAGCTAAACGTCTTCCTTGTCCACTCGAGGCTGGAAACCTTCCTGCAGGAGCTCCATGAAATGATTATCCTGAAGCTGAGGCATGTCCAAACTGTAGATGACTTCAGACCTGTGTGGAGGTAATAGACTTGTGCAGTGCAAACTCTAATAGTCATTATTAGCTCCTAGGCTCAGCTTCTCTGCCTCTTTGGAAACGCAGGCAAAGGAAACGGTTCCTTTGGCAAATGGCTGCCCTCCTAGATGGGATATTAATATTAATCAATATTAAGAATCTGCCCCTAGTTCTAAGCAGCACTGTTAGTTTCTAGCATAGATGATGACTCCTTTATGTTATACGAACTATTTTGGCAATGGTGCTGGAATGCATCAGGACTTGTAAGTTTTGAGTGATGAAGATGAATGCAAGCGTGTGTGTGGTCACTCAGCTGAGTGTTCACTCAACTGAGTGCACACTCAGCTGTCTATACACAGGCTAGCCCCAATTGCATTAATCCTGTGTTCTTCAACCTCCCTACGGTCTCGATTAAGGTGCTCTGCACATAAGCAGCACATAATGTAAGCACCACTTATCATAAAAGTGTTAATATATATTAACAGGTTGCTGCATTTCCAGCGTGTAAGAGGGGGGCACGGCAGTTTTGCTGCATACAACCTTTTAAGGCGACTTTTGCCCTTTCTTTCCCAGCTTGAAGGAATCGCTGCTGCCCCTCCTGGAGCTCAAGGAGTCGCAGCTGGCACCGGACCTGGAGGACGCGTTCCCGCAGGAAATCCTCCTCTCCCACGCCGTGGCCACCTGGACCGCGGCCGCTCTCTTCCGCCGCGAGCACCGGGAAGCCTAAAACGACTGGTGCTGAAAACATACTTTTTTTTTTTTTGTTCTTTTATATTTTTTCCCCCCAAACTCCCCGTTTCTGGCCGTTTTTGCACTCTTGCCTCTCCTGCCTTAGCGGCGCGGCCGGCCGCCCGCAGCATCTCAATAAAAAAAAAAAAAAGTGTTGCTCCCGATGTTTCTCACTCCGTTTTATGTGTGTGTGTGTGTGGGGGGGGGGGGTTAAAACGGGACGGAACGGGAACGGGGGCGGGGGGAGCGGCGGGAACGGGGGCGGGGGGGGGGGGGGGGGGGGGGGGGGGGGGGGGGGGGGGCGCGGACCGGGCCGATCCGGCCCGTTCCGCCCCCCCCTCCCCTCCCCGCCCCCGTTCCCGCCGTTGCCGTTTCTGACGACTTCCGTCGCGCCGCGATGTCGGAGGCGCCGCCGGCGGGAGCGCCCCTGCGCCTCTGGGCTCGGTAATGGCGGCCGGGCGCATGCGCGGCCCGGAGGAGGCGGGAAGGCGTCGGGTTGTGGTTCTGAAGCGACGGGTTCGGGCCTAGTGCGGCCCGGTGGCGATCCCTGTGTGGTTCCGGCAGCGGCAGGTCCCTGGCTGGTACCGGGACCGGTGGATCCTTTTCCCTGTCTGGTACCGGCACTGGCAACTCGCTCTCTGGTACCGGGACCAGTGGATCCCTTTGCCTGTCTGGTACCGGGACCAGTGACTCCCTCTCCCTGTCTGGTACTGGGACTGACGACTCCCTCTACTTGTCTGGTACCGGGACCAGTGGCTGCTTGTCTGATACTGGGACCAGTGGGATCCCTCTCCTTGTTTGGTACCAGCAGTGGCAACTCCATCTCCCTGTCTTGTACTGGGACCGGTGGATCTGTTTCCCTGTCTGGTACTGGCACCAGCGACTCCCTCTACTTGTCTGGTACCGGGACCAGTGGCAGCTTGTCTGATACTGGGACCAGTGGATCCCTCTCCTTGCCCGGTACCAGCAGTGGCAACTCCCTCTCCCCTGTCTGGTACTGGGACCGGTGAATCCCTCTCCCTGACTGGGACTGGTGGATCCCTTTCCCTGTCCGGTACCAGGACCAGCAGATCCCTCTCCCAGTTTGGTACCGGGACCGGTGGATTCCTCTCCTTCCTCAGTACTGTTGACTCCTTTTCCATGTCCCTGGTACCAGCGGATCCCTCTTCCTGCCCAGTACCGGTACTGGTGGATCTCTCCCCTCCCTAGTCCTGCTGCTGGCAAGTCCTCCTCCCTCGCTGGTGCTGGTACCAGCAGATCCCTCTCCCATCCTGATCCTAGCGGATCCCTCTCCCTGTCTGGTACCGCAGCCGGCGGCTCCCTCTCCCTGGCTACTCCTGGCGGATCTGCATCCCTCCCGGTTCTGGCACCCGGGTGGGTGCTGGGTCCCGGTCCTGGCTGCTCTTCACCCGCCTGGGCAGCCGCATCCGCCCTTCCCACAGGAGACGGACGAGGGTCCCTGCGACTCACGGGGACACCCGGGCAGAGGGGCTGGGTCCCGTGGGGACATCAGGGACCCGCGGGCCGTGTCGGGGACAGCAGGACCCGACCTGGCCGCGCTGCCCAGGGCCCGCAGGGATGCGGGAGCCGCCTCTCACCCAACCGCATGTCCTCCCCAGGGAGCAGGCCCGGCTCAAGGCCGCTGTGATCGCCCAGGATACGGAGCAGTGGCAGAAGGAGCCGGGCTTTGCTGGGCTGCACAGGGTCGGAGGCCTGGACTTATCCTACGTCAAAGGGGACGAGAGCGGCGCCTGCGCTTCCCTCGTGGTGCTCAGCTACCCGCAGCTGCAGGTGACGGTGCCAAGCGGGCGCTTTCGCGCCGTAGCCTCGCGGGGGCTTTTTAGGGACGCCTCGCTCGGAGGCTGTCGCCTGCTTTCCTCTGTGTCATAAATGAACTGTCACCTGTGCCTTCAACAAAACTTTCAACCCTACATTCTGCAGAGAAAATGTGTATTTGTTAGAATATAAAGAACAAGAGTAGGTTTCTAGACGTGGGTTTGGAAATATGTGATGCAAACTGCTGCTAGTCACAGGAGGCCGTTAGGAATTGCGGGGAGGTTGCGAGGTATCAAAGGGTAGCTTTAGTGTGCGTTAAAGTCAGTGGGAGTTGATTGGAAAATGCAGTAAGGAGATATTCTGATGAGCAGACAGATACTGAAAATGATCAATATCAGGCAAAATCATTACCAGAGGCACAAAGGATCACTGTTAGCACATACCTTACCAGCATTTGTAGCAATTCTGGTAGCTGATGTCCTGTTTGTGAGATTTAATCCTGGTAATCCACTAACAACGCAAGATGTAACTTAGACGTTTTCAGATCTACCACAAATCCCATATCCCACAGTCATTTAACTTAAAATAATAAAGGTACTTGGTCCCTTTTCCACTTTAATTCCAGTTTTCAAGCTGATATAAGAACTGTCTTTATCTATAAAACTTGTCACAAACAGAGAAACAGTTCGATCAACTGCTGGAATTTTTTAAGAACTGACTTTCAGATCCTGTGCCAGTTCTTGATTTGTCCTACAGGGACACTATTTGGCCAATATCCTGATTCTCGGGCTTTCTTTTAGGATCCTCTTGCCTGTCCCTACAAAGAGGTAGATGTACTTTGATAATCCGCTGGCTGTATGGACGTTGAGGTCCCCCGCAGTGTCTTCCAAGAGCTGCCTTGACTTTCGTGAAGGACTTTGCTCCCAAGTGGGGCACGGCAGGACTCAGCAGCCCTTGTCTGTCAGCAGCCCAGTATTCACCCCCTCTGTACCTCGGAGACAGACAGACTCAGCCCGCTGGCATTAGCTCTGTGGGAGAGAGACGAAAGCAGTAAAGTGCTGTGGCAGAGAGCACGACGGACATAAATACAGAGGAGAGCATTGCGGTTAAGAACTGGGTAAGTGCTGGAGGTGATTTTCTCTGTGTTGTGCTCCTAGGTGCTCTACGAGGATTGCCAGATGGTTGCTGTGACAGCCCCATACATAGCAGGATTCCTGGCCTTCCGAGAGGTCCCTTTCCTGGTGGAAGCAATTCAGAGACTGCAGCAGAAGGATCCCGGGCTCACACCACAGGTGTGACGTGTTTCTGTGTGCCAGGCAGAGGTGATGTGAAGGTTTGGAGCCCTCCCGCTCCTGAGGCTGCGCCATCCAGCCGCTCTCCACTGGCAGGACAGGAGACTCGGTGTCCAAATTGTACTGAAGCATCTAGTCACTGCATCTTTAGGGACTAGGAGTGCTGGGCCAGGCCCAGCCAAGCAGCCCTTGGCCATGGAAGTCCCATTCTGCACAGAACCCCAAAGACAGGAGCTGCCATTTGCTAAGAGCTCCTACTGCTGGGGCACAGGTTGTTTAAGTTGCACATGGAAGGAGACTTTTATACAGAGAAATCCAAAGGATTGGAACAAGGGTCTCCTCTCACAGGGCCACGGGTCACCATAGGGGCCACTGTCTGCTCTTCAGAGTGTCCCCCAGCACTGCATAACATGTTTTTTTGTTTGTTTTTTTTTGCCTTTCAAGGTGCTGCTTGTAGATGGGAATGGCCTGCTCCATCACAGAGGTAGGACTTTGTCAGACTGCAGGGCTTCGCCCTGCTCTTGTGCAACCCCATGCTGTCACTTGAGATTCCTGTTCTTGGGTGTTTTGCATCACATGAGAGGGCTTCTTAGTAAGTTCCAAAGATAAGGGTTGGAGGAATGAAGCTTGGAATTGATGGGTTAATAATCTAAGGTTGCTTTTGCCTCAGAGGAGCTTGTGAGGTTCTCTTTCTGATTCTTGATTCCTCAAAGATGACAATTTTTCTGTCCAAGAAAGCTTTCTGACTCGTATGGCCTGGCATTGTTGTTAAAGAGTTTTCAGAGGAACATGAAAATGCTGCTATTGTGTCTCCGTGTTGGCAGGATTTGGTGTGGCCTGTCACCTGGGGGTCCTGACGGATCTACCATGCATTGGAGTGGCCAAGAACCTCCTGCAAGTGGACGGCTTGGCCAGGGATGAGCTGCACAGAGAGCAGGTTAGGCCAGGTGGAGAATTCTTTCCACTCTTTAATATCCAAAGAGAACTGGGACAGGTGCATGAAAGTATTTTCTAACCAGCTAACCTTCTGTGCTTTTATGCTCTAGATTCGTTCCCTGCAGATGGAAGGAGATACATTCCCGCTGACTGGCACTTCAGGGAACGTCCTGGGCATGGTAAGCTGGGACCATTCCTGTCCAGTTGGCCTTCAATGAGTCTTCCAGCTCCATGTAACTGGAAGCACTTGAAAAATCCTGTCTGTGTCGTGGGACTGTCTCAGTGATACCAGTTCAGAGAAGTGAGATCTGAACAGCTACGCATGACACTGTTTTTTTTTTTCTCACCGTGTCAGCTCAGGCATTCTTGGAAATCCTTAAAAAGGGGTGGCAATTCAGGTGTCCGTGGCTATGGCATGTGAGATGCTGTGCCCCAGCATCCCTGTTCATGAACCCCTGCCAAGGAAAGGTGCCACTTCTGTAGCAATTTCCCAAGATGCCAAATGGGAGCATATGTCTCAGAACAGTGATGCACAAGAAGTGAGCAGATCTAGGAAATGTCCTTCCCTGGTGACATTTCAGCACCGTCTGCATTACCAAATCTGCACACAACTTCCCAGGGCAGTGTGAAGCATTTGGGGAAGGGTCACAGGGATCTAAAAGGGCAGACAGTCCCTGTGAGGAGACAATGGGAAGCAGAGGATCAAGAAAGCTAGGATATGCCAGATGCAGACTCTTTCTGAAAACAGGTTGTCTGGCTTATAATTTGTCTGTCACTTTGTTCAAAGTAAGCCCCTTAAGTATGGTCTTTCTGGTTTGTGAATGCACAGGTCCTGCGTAGCTGCAACAGCAGCTCTAAGCCCCTTTATGTCTCTGTGGGCCATAGGGTGTGCCTGGAGACAGCAGTGAGTCTGGTCAAGTCCTGCTGCAGGTACCGGATCCCGGAGCCCATCCGACAGGTACAAAGGCTGGGAGAACTGAGGAAGGGATATATAGGCCTGAAACAGGGAATCAGGCAAATAGGAGGGGGCAGGACAGTGGAGAATTTCAATTCTGTGATAATGTGTCAGGGCCTCAGCTGGCCCTTCTTCTGCAACCGTAGCCATCCGGCTTCCTGGTCTGTTCTCTGCAGCCTGGCGTGTGGTTATTTACGTGATGAAGCTCAAGCTGGCCCTCCTGGTGACGCAGTGCCCAGCAGCACACACAGCCCTCTGCAGACTCAGCCTGCCCGATTCCCTGCTTCCTCTCTGCAGGCAGCTTCTGTTATGCTGTTGTTTATAATAGAGAGGAGCTGGAAATGCAGCTTTCCTGGGCACTGAGAGGCGAGCACAGACTGCAGTGCTGCTCCTCTGGGCTTTTCTCTGCTGCTGCACTCCGCAAGGAGCTGCAGGCTCGGGGCGACAGGCAGCCGGTAGGTGACAGCACTGAACTGCATTCACCGAGCCGCAACTGCCACCAGGGCTCTGCTTCAGACTAATTAAATCACAGCAGGGCTTGGGAAAAGGATCTGGAGAGTCTGAAACCTCCAGGACTTCTCGCCTGGCTTCACTTCTCTCAGGGTCACCTTGCCGTTAGCAGGGAGTCGGGCCTGACCCACTGCGTGCCCAGACGAGGGCCTGTTCAGATGTGCCCGTGTGTAGCACTGCCCTGGAACACGGAGATCGCGGCACGGCCGCTCGGTGCTGCTCAGGTGTCGGGCACCTTTGCTCTTCAGCTCCTCGCAGCAGTGCCGAGAGGATCCTGCTGAGGGCTGTTACGCAGTTTCCACCAACAGGAACTTCACTCTGGTACTGCAGTGTCTTTTGGAAGCAGAATATTGTCGGGCTAGATGATCTCTAGAGGTCCCTTCCAACCTCGACTGTTCTGTAGTATTGAGTTTATAGTTATAAAACAGACAAAAATCTAACATCTTAGGGGAAAGCAGTCCTTGGAGCGCCCGTATGAGAAAGTACATTTTCTGATCTCATAAACCACTACTGCCAGAGTTGAGCAAGCTGATAGATCTTCTTATGTAATCTCTTGCAGCAAGGGACAGATGCCTCAGCAGAGCTCGAAGCTAGCTCTGCAGTATGGCATGTTCAGGGGAGAGGGGAAAAGCATTCTTTTAGGGAACAAATAGGTGTGTTGCAGCTTTCCGTTATGTGCATTTTATTTCCAGCTCACAACATCAGTCATCAGTGGTCTGAGGTTCTTCCAATCCTCTAACTAAAATCTCTATTTGATGTGATGGAATAGATTGTGACCAGTTTCCTTACAGAGAGATTTGAGATCCAGAAAAGAGTGTGTTTAATGTGTGTTAAAAAGTGTGTTTAGAGGAATGGCATAGGATTAGGATACTTAAAATGCTTTCATAGGATAGATTCACCTAATTGGAAAAAAAAGTCTATTAATATGTAGGGACTCCTGCCAGTTCGGAACAGGCTTCTCCCCATCAGGCTTCCTCTGTGTAATAACTATGATTAGTGCTTTGTACTCATTTTCACTTATTTTGCTTGCAGAGGGGTGGTCTTCTCACTTGGGCAGTTTGCCAGACTTTGAGGATCCTCTGCAGAGCTTTGGTCTTTTAGAACTACAGAGGGATTGAGGTAGGCGAGAGCTGTCATCCCAGAGTCATAAGCAAAACACTAAACCCAGCAGCCCTGGAACAGACCCAAGTCCTCCCGAGAGCAGCTGCCCTCGCCCACTTTTGGCAGAAGTCAGACCCCGTCTCTGCTATTTGCCCATGCTCTAACGCTGCTCAGAGCCAGAGCTCCCCATGTACAGCATGAGTAGCAGGAGCTCTTATCACTCTGCAGCTGACAAGGGTTGCTCCGGGACCGATTCTTCTCCTTCTGCTGGTTCAGCTTCCTGGCTGGCCGCACACCAGGCTCCTGCTCACTTGATGAGCCTTTTAGCTGCAGCTGGCAGCGGGCCCAGCTCCTTCCTGCTGGCTCAGGATGCTGCTGCTGGCCAGTGTGGTGCCGCTCTCGCCCACCAAGGAGGGCAGACGTTGGCCTGCTCAGAACAGTGAATGTCCACGGGTCACTTTACACAAAGTATTAAACAGCCACTGAGAACTGGAAAAAAAGCCATCGCCTCTAGGCTGAGTGTAAATAGCTCGTGCTGCCAGCAGGGAACCGGTCACTGATGCCCTGAAACTCTTAAGGCTTTGAGACACAGCCCCCGCTACTGCAAGCTTGCTGGGTACTCGGGGATGACCAGTGCTCCCCCATAAAACAGGCAAAGCAACAATTCTAGGCCCTAATGCCAGCACTAGTCCCCTCTGAAAATAGAAGCAATCTGTGAGGATTATTACAGGACAGTTATCCATCTTATTGATTAGCCTCTTGGTTAATACGCTGGGTTAAGCTGTCTCTCAACTCTGTGTTAGGAGTGAGCCAGTAACTTGCCACCTAATCAAGCATTAGCTTATGTTACCAGCAGAACTCGGACTGGGATTTTTCTTCACTAGAAAACTGGTCCATAAATCTGACTCTTGCTCCCTTGGTCTCCCAGTAGGGACCTTATTGAACAACTTCTTTCCCTTTTTATAAAATACATCACATAACCTTTTATCCTGAAGAGTGATTAAAGTTATTTGTCAGTTATGAAACTGTCCAATTATAGAGAGAAGGTGAAAAAAAAAAAATCTCCCAAACAAACCATTCCTTATGTAAGTATTTTTCATTCTCTAGCTTGCAGAATTGTTAAGCAGTTATAGAGCTGCATTTCCAGCAGCGAGAGGCAGAGCTTCCACCTGAGAAGCCTGGCTGGGAGCTCACAGGGATGGGAAAAGATGCCGGGGAGCTTGTTGAGGTAGGGGAGAGCCTCCTCAAAGCAGAATAACCGTGAGAGTGGCGAAGGCTTCAAGGACAGGCACCAGGGATCTATTAACCTGCCTTACTAACATGCTCATCCTATGCTGTGAAGCTTTTCCAGATGGAAAGGTCACAAACTGCGTTTTAAGGGGAGACAGATAGTGTTATCTTTGAGGTGGGACACAGCAGCTTTTCTGAAATGTGACCCTGCAGCAGTGTTTTTGAGAAAGGAAATTTCTGGCACAGAAAACCCTTGGGCCAATGTAGAGAACTGCCAGTGCTGGAAGTTTGCCTAGAGAGCAGGATCTGTGTGTTTGTGAAAGCATCCCCGAGTCAGAGGCTAATGTGATACAGCCCTGGAAAGCTGACCAGAAGTGCTCTGGGGAACAACAATATCCAGCAACGCTTTTCATATTCTGGGAATTTCTGTTGGTGTTTTGCTAGCCCACACGCTCTTCTGTGTTGCTGGAGCATGAGCCCACGGGAAGAGGGTGTGGGGGGAGGCCCCAGGTGGGGCTGCTTGGGGCAATTAAGACCTATTTCTGCACGTAAGGCCCTGCCAGAGCTTTTGGTGGGGTAGCAATTCCTGTAGTGTTAGGAATAGCAGAGTAATTCCATCTTTGCCTGCCCTGCGTCAGGAGGACTCATGGAACAGGAGGGAATTGGAAGGGAAGAACTGGACATTTGCATGAGGAGGGGTTTGAAGTCTAGCGGTGGATTTGAGCTCAACTTGAAGCCGGAGGACAGTGTGCCATGGGTATGGTCAAATCTCAGCCTTAATCTTTCTGGTTTCTGTCCCTAGCAGGGATCCCCCAGGAAAGCAAAGCCCAAGGGCCATAGCAGTGAGGTGGCCTGGCATGTAAACATGCTTCTGTTGTCCTGCCTGGCAGCCTTGCTCTTGTACTCGTGCGTAGGGCAGTGTGAAAGGTATGTCTCTCATTCGTCTTTGCAAGTGCTGCCAGGGATGTGCTTGTGCCTTGTTTGCTTTTATTGGATGTTTTTACCTGCTTTGGCTGCATAATTACCATCACACAGCCAGCCTGTAAGGCACATAGGCAGGATGAGCCAAGCTCTTGCCTAGGGGAGAGGATATGCAGCAGACTAGTGCTTTGCTTCTCCATCTGTTGCTGCATCATGCAGCTGCTGGAACAGAAGAAGTAGACGGATGGGTACAGGGATGGATCCAAGAATGGGCAGTACCAGCTTCTCTCTCTCTCCTGTCATCTCGAGAACTATCCTATTTGCTGCATCTCCCCCTCCCCAAGCTCTTTGCAGTCTTTTCCATAGCCTTGTTGCCCCTCCAAATGTCCAGGGTTCAGTGAAGCGAGATCCTTGTTTCTCAGCTGGGCATCCCCTGCCAAAGCTTGTTGGGGAACATCAACAAACCTGGGTAATCTCAGGTGCTCTGAGCATGGAGGCTGCAGCCTGCACCGGTGTCTCTAAAGCAGAATCACTTCTGGCATCGGTGAGCCCTGGTAGCACATTTTCAGGAAGACGCCGCATTTCTTTCCAGTTTGGAGGCATGTTGTTGATGGAGTCCATCTGTGTGAAGCTTGCTCAAGTACTGTCAAGGTGCCGACCCTCTTGGCCAGAACTAGACCAGCATTTACGGGTGGCAGTGGCTGACTGCTGTGGCGGGGCAGCTGGGACACCAAGGTGCAGTGTCTGTGCAATGAGCTCTGCCCCCTTGGAGCAGCTCCCAGCAGCAGATAGACTGTTAGCAGACTGACCGACTCGCATGTGAGCCCTTCCCCTGGGGATGGCAGGGAAGGAGAAGGCTCCAGTGCAGGGTCTGGAGACAGCAAAAGCTACGGTTCTGCAGCCCTGGGGTGAGTCACTAAAACGCTCCAGTATTTCCCCACCTTTTGAGGAGGGGTCTGTCTGTCTTCCTCTTGGTTCAGTGGGAGGCCGGATTTTGGAGGGCATTTCCTCTCTGAACAAGGAGAACTTCCCTCCTGTCCTCAAGGTCTAATGAGTCTGTTCCATCTCTGTTGTTACTCATGAGTCAGTGGGTGAGGACTCCGGGTCCTGAGCTCTTGCTGCCAAGGGCCCGTGGGGGAGCCTGGCTGCTCATTCCGCTTTCCCAGCTTGTACATGGGGGTGCCTGCAGGTGGCAAAAGTCATCTGAGTTCAAAAGAAGGAGGCACTAGACCTTTCTTAAGGTTTCCAGCTCTTCTCCAGCATGATTTTACTGCCAGGGTTCATGAAATGGGGTTGAAAGGGGTCCTCTGAGAAGCAAAGTGCAATGGCAAAGCAGCCCAACGCCTCAGTCATTCTTGCTTTGCCACCATCCTCCTCCTCTAGCTTTTAGCCCCTGCAAATCCTTGCATGTCATATCCCTGAACCATTTGGAGGTCATCTTGGGAACCATCCATGTTGGTGCAAGGTAAGAGAGGCTGTTGCAGTTGTCGGCCTGGCAAGGATTCCAGCTGGATCAGTGTTTGCTGCACAAGGACTCACCTTATTGCAGTGTGTGCTGGAAGTCTGTGTTATTTCATCCTTTAGGTCTTGTAGGGACCTTTGGAGAAGCCTGGCCATGCTCATCTGAGCTGCTGCAAGGATTTGTTGAATAAGCCAAATCTGCTTCCTAGTCTGGCTGTTCCTCCTGCAGCGCTCGAGGAAGCCGGGGCTGAGCGAGGCTGCAGCGACGCTTGGCACGCACGGGCCCTGCCACTTGTCTCCTCTGTGCTCCGCGTCACCTCCTTGTTCCTGTGAAACGGGAAGGGGCAGACAGCCAGGATTCGGGGAACATCATTGCTGCTTCTGAAATGAACTGTACCTCATGGAGACTGCTTAATCCAGGACCCTCTATTCCCTCATTTTAAGTCCGTAGTCTCCTAATCAGCTGGCAGTGGGACACAGAGACAAAACTAGAAAGAAACACGGGTATCTCTTTGCAGAGCCTGGTTGTCCTAGGGCTCTTTGTGATGTGCCCACGTGAAGGGCAGGGGGCTTACCAAGATAACTAAGGGGACCCCAAGGAGGCTCACGAGTCCCTTATCATCCATTTTCCTCCTTAATTCCAGGCTGATATTAGATCGAGGGAGTATATTCGGAAGCAGCTGTGCTCATCACCAGAGGTCAGACCTTCTGTGCGAAAGAGGTAGGTGTGTGGGCAGCCCAAGCAATTGCCTGTCCACAGAGGATCTGCTCATGTAATGATCTCTAGTAATGGCATTAAAGGGACGGCCAGGGTAACAAGGTGAGCTCAAGTGACACCAGGGCACATGCTGCCTCCCTAAAGGGTGGTTTCTGGTGATTGCAGCCATGCTGCTTCACACGTTTCTCCCAAAGAGAGCCGTGGCCTCGCCTGGGGAAGGTCACCAGGGATTTGGCCTGTGTCCGGTCCCTGTGATCAGCAAAGCGCTGCCGCCCACAGGTGTGACATAAGGGTGAGCAGAAATATCCTGCAAGGAGCTGTCTTCTGTCCACAGAAAACAAGGAGAGGGTCAAACCACCTCACTCTTACATAACGTAGGACAGTGGCTGCTCTCTTAGGCCGGCTAAGTGCACCACACGTACACGGCCATGCAGGACTTGCGTGTCAGGGCCACGCTCCCTTCCCCACATAGTTCATGCTAGTTTGTTGGTGGGTTCTGCCAGACCCACAAAGAGTCCATGTTGGGCAGATACCAAATACATCTGCCTAAAGAGTTGCTCGTGGACAAGCCTGTGTCAAGACTCAAAGCCCAGTCAGCTCCGAGAGTCGTGCTGGACCAAAAACAACCGTTTCGAATTGTATTTCCCAAGACCTACATGTCCTCGCCCCTTGTTCCCTGGGTGACAGTTATTTGGTCTTTTTGGCTTCTGCTTTTTTTTAAGTCTGTCATCTGTCCTTGTTCTTATTCCTAGACAAAAAAATGAGCCTGAGCCTGATCACTAATCTGATGCCAGAACAAACTGCGGGTCTCCTGTAACTGGATCCTCTCCTGCACCGAGACTGCAGGTCCCTAGAGCACAACAGCCAAATACTGGGCTTGGGAAGGCTGCTGCTGAGCAGAGCAGGGCTGCGTCGGGACAATGCCAGCCCCCGTGCGGGGCTCTGGTGGGCAGGCAAGCAACCTCTGTCCAAGGCTAGTGCCTAGAGCATATTTGTATAGCTGATTTTTAAACAAGCACTGTAAAAGCATGTCTTGTAAATTTGTAAATATACTACAGCTTACTGAGGTGTTTGGGCAATTGCAGGAGGTGATTTGCAAGAGACTGGGGCCCTTAACATACTTAGGAACATTTGGCTCCCACCCTCTGTGACACAGAGACCTCCCCCTTGTCTCTGCTGGAACTTCTTGCACGCAGGCACTTCAGCCTGTGCTCCTGCGCTCGCTTTGCACATCCCCGGGGAACAGAAGCCCGGCACGGAGCTCCGGCTGGTTCCGACAGACGGGCAGAGGACTCTGTGTTTCAGGTGGGCGTGTGATTCACGAGGGAGGGATGGAGCCAACAGTCTGCTGCGGATTTTGGAAGACGTCCGGATGCCTGGGCCCAGCACCTGAGAAGCCTTCTCTCTAGTGGGTGCCTGTGGCTCCAGCCTGCCTTCGTGCCCCCAGCAGCTACCAGACCTCTGTGGCTGCACCTAGGTCGTGTGCTGGGCACAGGGTGCTCTCGGGGGAGCTCTGCATTGCTGCTGCTGCTGCACGAATCGTGTGCGAGGGCAGAGACCTGCTTGCCGTGCTGTTATCGTGACCCTTTCCACCGTGGCTGAGCCAGAGGGGCTGCGATGCGGATCAGCCCTCCGTCAAGAACAGAACATGTTGGAGAAGGGAACGTTTCCCTTCCAGGCGGGTGGGGAGGGAGCGCCTCCCTCCTACACAAGCAGCCGAGGCAGACGGAGCCCGGCCTCATGTTTTGCAGTTTGAGCAGGCTGTGAGCGCTGGTGTCAGGTCAGCAGCGATGCTCTCTGGGACTAGCTTGTTTGGATCAACATCCTTTGGTTAAGGAGACTGCAAACCTTTGCATTAGCAGCAGAGCACAGAACAAACAGTTTCTATCCCTGAATCAATACAGCTAGTCTAGTTTAGTCCTTTTAGTCTAGTCTTTTTTTCTCTCTGAAAAGGAAAAAGGATATTTCCTTGGTGATTGCAGAAGGGTGTTCAGGCTCAGTGCTCCTGTGGTCTGTTTTAAATGCTGCCAGGTACTTCAGCTTTGCATAAAGTTATATTTCTCTTTCTGCACATAAGTTTCAGTAGTGCTTTGGGCATTGAGGACATTCAGCCTTTTCTGCATGACTGTGCGACAGCTCAGAGGTCAGAGCCCGTGTTCATTCCTCCTCGAACTACAGCCCCAAAACCCAGGTGAGAGTAAGGGAAGGGGCTCGCTAGTTCTCACCTTCCCCCAGGGCCCTTCCTCCTTCCCGCTGCATGCGGAGCAGCTCCCTTGCTTAACTGCAGGGCTGGGCCCCCCAGCTTCCCTGTAGGTACAGGCACAGAGTGAGTGCCAGGGACAGGCTGCCGCTTCCTAACTCCCTTGGCAGAGCCCCGGGAAATAAACATTTCAAAGCTGCTTTCCTCAGCCTCTGAGCATTGCTGCTGCAGAGGCACCCAGCCCATGCTGCAAAACCTGGAGCCGCCCAAGGCCTTTCCACAGCATCCCTGCCCCAGCACATTTATCCCTGGAGATAAATGGGGATCAGCTGAGCCAAAGCGCAGGAGGAGGGACCCTCTGGCGAGCAATGGAGCTGAGGCAGCTGCTCTGGGGCTGCTCCCTTAGGAAAAGGGTCCCTTGGACAAGGGGGCTCTTCCCGGCCTGGCGGCACGAGCGGGTGGTGAGTGCCCATGAATTCCTGCTCTCCTGACACTTCCATGATTTCCTGTTTGTGCCTGGGTCTCGGTTGCTGTTGTGCCTGTGGGCAGCTGTTCTGTGGTGGAAGAGGGGAGCTGAGTCCTTGGAATGAGGTCCCGGATCCGCGCGCTCCGTGCGCTCCACGCACTCGCCTGCAGCGCGCGGGGCTGCGGATCGGGCAGCCGGTTAAACAAACTGCCTAATCCCCGTGTTTGGTGTCTGCTTGGGGCTGTGTGAACACAATAACGGATTAACGTGGTCTTTATCTAATTGGTTTATAACCCAGGGAAGGGAAAATCGCTTTGCAGGGCATGAGACCTCCTCGAGTAGAAACGCGACGGCCAGAGCCCAGGTGCCCTTTCTCTGTAAACTCTCTTCTTCTCTAGCGGCCTGTTGGCTGCAGATCAGGTTTTCTGGGTCCAATATATTTGTTATCACACTCTTGATGGTTTCTTGCCAACCTGCTGTGAAGCCCGCTCTCCTGCAGCCTCTGAGGATGCTCCTCTTTCTATCAGGATTTTCTCTTGGTATCTCCTCGGTGCTGCCAGCGAGTGGGCGCAGGCGCCGGTGCCCGTGCGGCCCTGGCCGTGAGTGCGGAGGTGCCGCCGGGTTCTTCCCTGCCTGCTCCGCAGCGGAGCTTGGCGCAGGTCTCCTCCTCCTCCTCCTCCTCTGCTCCATGGCTGGACATGGCCCGCCGGCCTCTCCCTGGCACGGCTTCCCTGACAGGGAAGGGAAGGCGCCTCGGTGCCCACAGCTGCATCTCTCCTGAGGGAGCCGAGCTGGGTAACCCGGAGGCTCGGAGGGCAGGAGGCTGCTGCTGGACCCGGGAAGCCGGTTGTGCAGGGATCCCCCGTGCCCTGCCTTGGCCTGGCCGCAGGGAGCTCCTGCCCTCGTCCTTCCCGCCCCGCGGCCCTGTCCACCCTGCGTGTGGCCGGCGCGGGGGTGACGGGCGCCGCGGGGGTGACGGGCACCTTGTGCCACCTGCTTCCCTTCCCCGCCTCCTGCCTGGCCCCGGGATCCCCCTGCCCCGACACCGGCCGCCTCCGGCAGCTTATTGGGTTTTAATTAATGTGCTCACATACCAAACGAGATGCGCTGGAAGCAGATGTGACAGGCACGTTAATAACAAATGAGGCACCACAAAGAGCTCCTGCTGGGGCACTGGAAGGGGCCCTATCCCATGGGATGTGGAGGTCATGGAGCTGCTGCTCTTGGAGGCTCCGTTTGCTGCCCGCTCCCTCCAGGGAGGCCCTTGTCCCCAAGGAGGACACAGGGCCACATTTTGTCCTCTCTGACGTGGGTGCAGACGCACCTTGCCCGGCCCCCACAGCCCCAGGCTTTATTTTAAGGCCATGTTAATTAAAAAACAAATAAGTGGAATTTCTCTTGACATCCAAATTAATAGCAAAGGAGGTAATTATGAGCAGTGTCATTAGGGTGACGGGGCAGTGGGTGCAGAGAGGGCTCGGGGCAGAGCCACAACGTTCCCAGGCTGGCCTGGGCGCCCGGCCCTTGGCCGTGTGCGGAGCGGGAGCCACCGCGGGGACAGGACGGGGCTGGGGGCTGCTCTGCTGGGGACGGCGCTCGCTCCTCGTGCTGCCCTCGCACTTGCGTCCCTGCCTGGCACACCGGGTCACCTTTAAAGATGCAAAATAGAGACCAAAACCTCGGTCTGTGGTTAATTCCTGGGTTGGTTTCCAGCTCGGGAGCGAGAAGCAGGACGTTTCCCTAGGAACGTGCTTTTCCCTGCTCTTCCTGCGCTCGCTGCTTGGCTTGTGCCGCTGCCGCCCTCGCTGACCTAATTGCGGCCCGCGGCGAGGGGCGGCACCGGGGCGGCCCCGCGCCCACCGGGGCGGCCCCCAGCGCGCGCGGGGGCAAGGAGCCGCCGCTAATTACAGAGCGCAATTAGCGCTCTGCGCCTCTGTTTTTAATCGGCTTTGGAAGCGGCCTCCTGCTGCGGCCCCGCGGGGAAGGGGCTCCTGCGGGGCAGCGGGGTGAAGCCTCCCGGCCCGGGGGAGCTGCCCCGGCCGCGGGGCTGCCGAGAGCCCCGGCCGCTCCGCGGCTCTAGGCGCCGCCGGGATCCCGCGCCCGGTGCTCGCGCGGGGCAGACGCTGCGCGGGGCGCCCCGCACCGCCCCGCTCCCCGGCTGCCAAACCCCCCCGGGCGCCGCGGAGGCTGCGGGGCCGGGGGCCTCGCTCTGCCCAGCGCTGCCCTCGGCGCAGCCGCGTTTCCCGGCTGCCAGGAGAGGAAAACACGGGCTCTTGGTGCCGCTTCGTAAATACCGCTTTTGCCGTTTGGGTCGCGGTGCAGCAGCAGCGGTTTCTCGTGTGCGGCCCCGCTCCTCTCCCCGGCCCGGCCGCGGGGCTGCGCGGGGGACAGCGGCAGAGGCTGCAGCGGAGCCCGGGGCAGGGACGATGCAGCCCCAAAGGCCCCGAGCAGCAGCCGGGGGCAGCCCGCGGCGCACGAGGCAGAATTGCCCGCGTTAACCTCACGTTCCTCCCCCCGGCGGCGCTGAGTCCAGTTAGGAGAGACTCTCGTGTCTTTCTTCGCTCTTTATTGTGTAAAAATAAAGTCACCAGTTCATGTAATCCCGGCAGGAGCATGGAGGAAGCGCGGGCGCCGCGGGCTGCAGCCCCGGGCCCCGCGGCGGGTGGAGCGAGGAGGAGGAGAAAGGTAGAGCTTTGGTTAGCAAAATAACGACAACTCGAGACACATTGATTCTCTCCCCTGCTATACACTATGTACACGCTGTTGCTGTCACACCCTTTTAGTTGGTTTTTGGCAAGTCGGCTGCCCCGGGGCGCGCGGGGTCGTCTCGTGGGCGCTGCCCTCGGCGGCAGCTCGTGCTCGGCGCGGACGGGGCCGGGGGCGCGGCGGGAACTCAAATCAACTCTCGCTGGGGCTGGAAAAGAGCGCGGTTAAAACGCGGCCCGGGGGCTCCGCGGGACCCCGGGGCTCTCAGCGCCGCGGCCGCCCCGGCGCCGGGAGGCGGCTGCGATCTGTAGTACAAACCAAGCGTCTAGAAAAGGAAACCATACAAAATGCATCTGTTATTCCAAAATACGCTGCTTCTACCCCTCTTCCTGCAAGTCTCCTAGTACTGTTTCCCCCCATGGGGGAGCACTGCCTAACTCTATATTCTCTTCATAAAAATACCTCTTTTTTATTTTTTTTGTTTGTTTAAATGGTAATAAACTTCCCTTTACAGTAAGAGAAAGGATATATCATGTTATCAAAAGCAGAAAGGCTTCAGACTCGCGGTGGCCGCTCGCCTCGCCGGGGCCGGCCCCTCCACCCCGGTCGGGGACGTACCTGAGTGAGGCGGGGGGCGCGGGGGGGCCGGGGCTCCCGCTCCGCGGCTCTGCCCCCCCCCGGCTCCAGGAGGGAGAAGTCCGGGAGGGAGCAGAGTGGGGGGGCTCTGCCATCCATTCCCCCCTCTGCAGGAAGGAGCAGGGATGCCACAACCCCTGCCTCCAGCATCCCAGCCCGCACCGGGGGCTCCAGGCGGGAGGAAGGGGGGGACAGGACGGGGGGGCTCCGGGCAGGGGGTGGATGGTGGCCCGGGCGCGGAGGCGGCGAAGCGGGGGCCGGGGAGGGCGCAGCCGCGCCGGGCCAAGGCACGCAGGCGTCGAAGGAGGTTGGCAAGACAAAAACCGGACAGTGGGGGGGGGGACGGTGACGTTGTTCTCAGGTGTTTTTGCGCAAGAAGAAAAAAGAACAGGGGAGAGGAGGAAAAAGAAAGAGAGGGCGCTGGGGAGGGTTGTCTCATGTGTCCGTGGCGGCGCCCTAGTTGAGCTGGCGACAGGCCTCGAAAGTCCACTTGGTGGCCCCGCCATAGACGTCGATGTTGCCCTCGGCCCAGGCGATGACGTTGCCGGCGAGCGCCTTGCTGCTGCACGTGGCCAGCGCGTAGACCTCGCCGGGGCTCAGCTTGCGGTCCCACACGTTGAAGTGGGCCAGCTCCCCCACGAAGGCCTGCGTGGCGTCGAACCCGCCGCCCAGCGTGTCCTGCGGCAAGTGGGGAGCAAGCGAGGGAGCCGTCGTCACTGGGGGGCAGAGTGTGGACCCCCTCCCCGCACCGGCGCCTCCCTCACCTGCTCCTGGCCCAGCACCAGGACGCCCTGTGGCTTGATGGGGTGGTAGGGGGCCAGGTTCTCGCCGCTGCCGGTCTGGGTGCCGTCCTGGTAGGCTTCCCACACGCCGTCCCGCGTGGTCCACGTGACGCAGATGTGGTGCCACTTGCCATCGTTGATGACGAAGGGCAGCTTAGCCACCTGCGGGCAGCGGGTCAGGGTGGTGGCTGCTCCCTGGTCCCCCCCCTGCCATCAGGACCCCCCTCCCTGCCGCTACCTTGTCGTTGATGAGGATCTCCATGGGGTTGTTGCCCCATTCGATGAGCACGAGCTCGTTGGCCTGGCCGGGCACAGCATAGGAGAAGGGGGTGCCCATGCCAGGGGAGGCGCTGGACTTCATCCACATGCACACGCTGAACGCGTACATCTCGGGCAGGCTCTTCTTCACCTTGGCGTACATGTAGTTGGTGCGCAGCGGGAACGTGAGCTGGAACCTGTCCGTGGGCCGGTTGTCCTTCTGGCCTGCAGGGCATGGAGCATCCCGCTGGGCTCTGCGGCTGGACCTCCCTCACCTGCTCACCCCAGGGCTCCGCTGCTTTGGGGGTCCCCCCCACGCCCGTTATGTAATGGAGTCGGAGAGGTCTGCGAGCAAATCCCTCCAGCGCAGCCCGGTCTCTAATCCCCAGCCCGGCCACTGCTCCCTGGGACGGAGCTGCCGGAGCGGCCCCGGGCAGCGCGGCGCGAGGCTCCGCGACAGGGGGTCTCGCGGGGGTCCCTACCTTTCTCCAGGTCGCTGATGCGCTGGTGCAGCGACGTGAGGGTGCTCTCGATCTTGCCGCGCTCCTCCGACTCGTTCCTGGGGCCGAACTTGCCCTCCTCCAGGCTGTTCACGCGCGACAGCACCTGCTTCTCCAGGTCGTCGATCTTGTTCTGCAGGATGTCCTTGAGGTTGCTGCCCTGGCCCGAGGCGTTGAGGCGGCTGAAGTGCTGCGGGGGGCAGAGCGCGGCACGTGGGCGCGGGGCGGCGGCGCGGGGGGTCCCCACGCGCGGCCGCGGCGCCCGGCGCCCCCGCGCACCTCCAGGTTCTCCAGGCGCGTCTTGAGCGCCTGCAGCGTCTGCCCCAGCTGGCTGAGGGTCTCGGCGGCGGGCGGGCGCGACAGGTCGCCCATGGTGTTCTTGGCGGGGCCGGGCTGCCGGCGGCCGCCGGGCGCCTCGGCCGCGCTCTGGCTCTCGCAGCGGCCCAGCTTGGCCGTGAGCTCGCGGATGGTGTCCTGGTGCCTCAGGATGGTCTCCTTCTGCTGCAGCACCGTCTCGCGCAGCTGCAGCACCGTGCCCCGCAGCTCCTCGGCCGCGTCGCCGCCCTGCGTGGGTGCCGCGCACATGTCCACGTCCACGGGCACGGAGGTGCAGATGAAGCGCGTCTGGCCCAGGCCCTGCGCGCAGCCCCGCGCCAGCAGCAGCGGCAGCAGCAGCAGGAGGCTGCGGGGCAGCGCCGCGGCCGGGGCCGGGGCCGGGGCCATGGCTGGCGCTGCCGCCGCCGCTGCCCGCTCCGCGCGCACTGCCGGGCCCACTGCGGCACGCGCCCCTCTTATAGCGCCCGGGCGGGGCCGCGCGCCCTGACGTCACGGCGCGTGGAATCCCGGCGCGCGGCTCCCGCGGGCGGGGGGGCCGGGGGCGGCGCGCGTGGGGCCGCGCTCCCGCGTGGGCCGCTCCCGGCGGCGGCTCCCGGCGCGGCCGCCCCAGCCCCGGGGATCCCCCCGGCCCCGGGCGCCCCCCGCGCGGCCCCGCGGGCCCCTCGCGGAGCGGCGGCCGCCGCTGGACGCGGGGGACCCGAAAAGCGGCGAGGGGCGGGCGGCCCGGAGCTGTCCAGCCGCAGCCCGGCCGCGCAATAGGGTCCCGCGCGGCGGCGCCCGGCTCCGCGGTGGCTGCGCGGGGTCCCCTTCCTCATCGGGGAAGGAAGTCCCGGCCCCGCGGGGTCTGTGCTCGCTGCCAACGGGGTCGTCACCTTCCTTTTCATCGGGGCTTCAGCCCAGACCGGTTGCTCTCTGGTCCTGGGGAGGGAGCCCGGGGCTTCTCCCTGCGCTCCCTCCTCCCGGGCTTCCCGCTCCCAGGGGCCCTGCCCCGTAGATCCCCCTTCCCGGGCTCTCCTAAACCCGCCCGGGGCTTCCTCCTCGCGGGGAGGCTGCGGCTGCGGGCGGCCGGGCGAGCGCGGTGCCGCCGGCCCCGCAGGCGAGCGGGACCTCGCGGCTCCCTTCCTCGCCTGCCCTGCTAACGCTGCACTGCAGCAGCGCATATGGCCGGGGTATTTACATAATGCCAAGTTATCCTGCGAAATGGGAAGCAATTAATTTTGATTAGCGAAGTGGGTCAGTAAAATGCGCGGCGCTGTGTCCGTGGTGCGGGCAGCGCTGCCGGGTGCTCCCCGCGGCCCGGGCTCGCTCCCCGTGGAGCCGCCGGAGACGCAGCGCGCGGGGCCGCTCACGGTACCGCGGGGGGGTCACGGTACCGCGGAGCCGCTCACGGTACCGCGGAGCCGCTCACGGTACCGAGGAGCCTCTCACGGTACCGCGGAGCCACTGACGGTACCGCGGGGCTGTTCGCGGTACCGCGGAGCCGCTCACGGTACCGAGGAACCACTCACGGTACCGAGGAGCCGCTCACGGTACCGAGGAGCCGCTCTCGGTACCGAGGAACCACTCACGGTACCGAGGAACCACTCACGGTACCAAGGAGCCGCTCACGGTACCGCGGAGCCACTGACGGTACCGCGGGGCTGTTCGCGGTACCGCGGAGCCGCTCACGGTACCGAGGAACCACTCACGGTACCGAGGAGCCGCTCACGGTACCGAGGAGCCGCTCTCGGTACCGTGAGCCCGCTCTCGGTACCGCGGAGCCACTCACGGTACCGCGGAGCCGCTCTCGGTACCGCGGAGCCGCTCTCGGTACCGCGGAGCCGCTCACGGTACCGCGGAGCCGCTCTCGGTACCGCGGAGCCGCTCACGGCAGCGCTGCTCCCTGCCGCTCCCCCACGGGCTCTGCTGGGAGCCGCCGCCGAGCCCAGAGCTCCCCGGTTCCTCCCGGTTCCTCCCCTCCCGCCGGCCTCGGGACACCCTCGTTCTCAGCCCGCGGCCTTGAGGGGATTACGGGTAAAGCGGCCGAGCTCGGCGCTTTGGCGCGGGCCTCAGGCGCGGCAGAAAGGGCACGAGGGGGTGAGAAGGAAGAATTCTCTGCTGGTGCTTGCAGCGGCTGCAGGGGCACTGGCACGGGCTCCGCGCAGCCCTCCAGAAGCTGCTGCCCATCTCCCTGCCACAGAGCTGAGCCTCCTGCTGCCGCCTGCTCTGCTCCAGGAAGAAAAAGAAAAGCTGCATTTTCCTCTAGCTTCTTCACTTCTGCCTTTCCTGCCCGGTTGCTTTTGCTCTCCAGGGCTCTCTGTGCCTCGGAATGCACAGGGGCCAGAGCAGAGGAGGTGGAGGAGGAGAGGCAGGAGATCTGCTCCCGGGCCGGCCGCTCTCGCTTGTGCCCCTTAGCGAGGAACGGGAGGCTCTGGAAAGGGCTGGAGACACTGCAGGGCTAATTCTTCTGCCACTGGCAGAAATGTAAAGCAAAAATAATGCTACTGCAGGCAATGTAATTACACCAGTGTAAAAGGGACTGAGAGGCAGCTGAATTGGTTCCCACTTCTGTTAACATCTGCATGGTATTGACAAAGCTGTTCGTGTCACCGAATTTAACTAGGAATCTTTTGTCATCCACAGTACATTATGCTGAGATGAGACCAAGGTGACAGGTTCAATAAAATAAACACTCCGATACTATGGTGATGGAGACCATATAAATACCTGGATAGGAAAAAACAACAAGGCTGCACTACAATAGATAAGCAAAATAACCCCTGTGTTGCCTAATACGAAGAAAGAACTAGAAAATGTGATGGAGATTTCAGCTCTTCCAGAATCCCTGAATCATGCAGGATCCATTATTGCTTTTGTAGGTTTAGGAGCAGCATGGATATAATGGAATAACGGAGTCACTTTTATTTTTAACTCTTCTGTCACCACTTCCGCTGAGCTCTCTGCATGGAGCTGATTTATCCCCCGAGGATGACAGGAGCTGAGCGCGGCGATCAAGGACCCTTGGAGGCGCTTGGGCTCTGGACGGGGGCCAGCAGGCGCATTTGTGTCCGTGGTGGATGGGCACAATCCATGATGGATGGATGGATGGATGGACAGGGCAGGGTGCTCCCCGGGAGCAGCAGCCCGGGCTCCCTCCGCGGAGCCCTTTGCCACGGCCGGGTGTCCCAGGCGGAGGTGACATGTGTGGATGTTCAATCTGCTCCGCGCTAACCTCGCGGCGAGAACAGCAGCGGTGCAGACACGCGAAGGACGGGTTTTTAGGTGGACAAATCTCTCTCATCCGGGAAGCCGAGGCCCCGGGGAGCCGGAGCGGAAGGTCTCCGTGCGGCTCGAGGAGCTGCTGCACAGAGAGCTTCCTCCCGCGGGGTGATGCTGATTCCGCATTTTCAGTCTCCTCTGTGCAGCGGGAGCAATTTGATCCGTTCTGGGATAGAGGCAGCGCTGTGCTGGGAAATGGCACCGGGCAGGCTTCGCCTAGCGGGAAACCCGGCTCTGCTCGTGCGGCCGGCTCATGCGGGCTGTGCTGCAGGGTCTGCAGGGCTCGGCCGCTGCAGCCCCCTCCCCAGCTCCGCGTCCCCGCTGCGCACACGGGCGTCCCCCCGGGGTGCAGTGCAGGGGATCTTCCGAGCGAATCCCCAAGGATGGGAGCTTGGATCCTCCCTCAACATCGTTGTTGGCGCTGGCTGCTAGCTGGGTCCCAGGCGGGGACAGGGAGATCCCTGTGAAAGCCCCGCGCTCGAGTAGCCAGGCGAGGAGCACGAAATGAGCACTGAGCCGCGCTTGGCTTTGCAAAATAGTGGGTGTGCAAAGTCTGTTCTGCACCTTCCGAGATGTACAGAGCTTGTGGGAGCAGCCTGAGCCTGGCGCAGAGCTAGCGCAAAGCCCCTGTCTGGAAGGTGGAGAATGTCCTGCCACAACACAGGAACATGTCGGGCTGGAGGGCTGGAACTGCTGCAGTTTGCTGCAGTCCTTCTTTGCAGCTCTCTGCCTCTCCTCTCCCTCTCTCTTCTCTCCCTCTCTCTCCCAGGCACACGCATCCAGTCTCTCTCCTGTTTTTCCTTCCCTTTCTCTCATTGCTCCTATCTCAAAAGTCAGCTTCCTTCCTGGCTGTCTGCATTTACATCCAGTGAGAATGGAAAGTGTGTTCTTTGTACTAGTAGGTCTCTGTGATGCTATAGGGACATGGATCCTTTCATTACAAATAATTAATTTAGCTATATATTGCATAACATCCCAAAAAGCTTTCTAGGGCAGTCTCACACTAGCTGGATGCACAGCTCCTATCAATATTACATTACATTTGGGTACAACAGTTATGAAGTTTCATTAAAAATTTAATTTGTGGTTTAAAACTGCAGCCTTCCCTTAAAAGTGCAGCCGGGGAAGCGCCGGGGCCGCCCGAGGGCTGCTGAGGGGTGCAGCCGGATTGCAGGGGCGCTGCAGCCGGGGCTCGGTCGCGGTGCCGCTGCCCGGACCGGAGCCAGCGGCTCGCAGAGGCGGGAGCCGCCCGCGCTCTCGTCCTCGTGGGTTCCCGCTGATTCCGAGGTGCCTTTTTGGCTACGGAGCGTAAAGCGGCGCGTCCCTGGGTAGCAAACCCGAAGGGGCAACGAGGGCCTCCCTGGGTCCCCATTCCCGCTGCTGCTCCGGCCCTGCGCAGGGAGAGCAGGAGCCGGCGGAGCCGGGGAATCGCGGCCGTGGGAATGGGTCTGCGGCTGCCCGGGGAGCGGCTCCCGAGCCCCACATCCCCGAGGAGAGGATGCGAACGCACGCAGGGATCAAGGCAGCGCTCTCCTCCCGCTTCCCTGGGGCACATGAGAGGTGTCTTTACCGGCAGCGGAGCTGTCCGGCAGCGGGAAGCGCGAGGAGGGAGGATGAATAGGGCCAGGATCATGTTTTGTTAATGGGGTTTGGTTGCGACTCCTAAGCAGATGATGTGAATGGAGGCAGGTTTAAAACATCCCACATCCGCCTCTCGCTTCCAGCATTGATTTATACGGTAATTTCCATCCTTATCTGCATGTGTATCAGGAGAACCACCAGCTTTCCTGTCCAGAGCATCCTGCGGACACCTTCCCGGCTCTCCGGGGGTCTCCGCTGCAGGATAAGGTGGGCTGGGGGCAGCTCACATGCAACAAACTACCACACATTCATATACATATATGTGTGTGTGCATTTATATCTATTGTTCTTGCAAAGGAGGGGCAATCCCTCTGCAGCTGGTGATGGGTGCTCAGAGGACAACAGGGTCCCGGCGTCCGCCACAGGGCTCTGCTACACATCCCTCCCTCCTGCAGAGGAAACTCAGGCTCCTAAATCCCTTAGGTGTCTTCGGCAGCGCTGCGGTCTGTCCGAGATCCCACGGGCAGTTCCCAGGGGATGCCTCCCACGTGTCCGTGGCTCCGGGCCTCTCCCCGCCTCGTCGTGCCGTGGAGGATGAGAGGGGAACATGAAACGCTGGTGACACCGCCGGTGCCCTAGTTTTTCCTGTGATTCTCTCTCATTTTCTCCGTCTCTCGCTCCTTCTCCCCAGCTCCGTGCTCCGACGGCGGCGAGGCTGGAAGCGGCCCCCGTGGAGGCGCGGGATGGTCCGGGGTGCGGATGGAGCCGGCGCTGCTGTCGCCACAGGAGCCGGGATGGCAGCAGTCGCAGCGGGACTCGCAGCCTGCCCGGCTCCCTTGTTCCCCGTCCCAGCGCTTTGAAGCATTGACCCAATAACTGCAAAAACATCTACCAGGAAATAGGAGGTTTGGCCTAAATGCTTCTGACAGGTTCCGAAGGGGCCAGCAGAGTTCCCAGGCTTCCATTTTCAGTGTATTAGGGGCTGTTTCGTCGCTGAGTCTGATCCATAATAGCTACAGAGCGTTTCAGGGAACATTCCTCACTCTAGAAATGAGCGACCCAGCAAATATCTGCTGAGGTGACATCTATCATGTGTTTTTAAGCACACATAGCCTGATAACCTAGCGAATTATTCAGATCGGGAAAAGACAAAGAGAGATAATGGTAACAAATGAGCTTACATTTATATAACGCCACTGATTGAGATGGATAGCAAGGAGGCTGGAGCACTCTATTAGCGGAGCCTGCAGACTGCCCCATCTATTGCATCCCCACGTGGATTGAGCGCAGCTCCGCTCAGGCGTTAGGAGAAAAACATCTCCATTAAGCCCACAACTCTTGTCAGGCTTGGAGTGGTCATTTAAGTCTTCGCAGCGCAAGCAGGAGCACAGAAATCTCTACATTTGCCAGTGAACTAAGGCCACCTTTGAGGTGAGACACGGCTATGGTCTCACAGTCTAAGTTACGTCTATCTTCCACAGTACCCTGGGCCCATCAGACACACGCGTTAACTGCACGCCGAGGTCCAGGCATCCCTGGGCTCTTTTACGCCGTGGTTTCTTCTCCTCCAGGGTTGATTCACCTTCCATCCTCAGTCTGCTCTCGCTAGAGCTCACCTTGGCAGGGCAGAGCTGCGGATCTCCCGCTCTCGCTGCACCGCAGAGCGCCCGTGCCCGGGCGCACGGAGCCCAAGGGATGCAGCTGGAGCGGCGCCGGCGCTGGGAGCGTGTCCTCCGGTTGCCTTTGCACAGCGGGAGGGCGCTGGGCTGCTTTTACAGGGAGAATCAGTTTTATGAATCAGTTCTGACGCGCGTTGGGTTTGGCACGTAACATCAGACCCCCTCCTTGCCCGTCTGGCCCCATCCTACCCAGCCCCAAATCCCCCTTCCAGCCCCAGGACTCTGATTCACGTTTACTGCAAGGAGATAAGCACGGAAGTCTATGTGCTGGAGATGCATAAATAATAGAACTGAAATCATCCCTAGTTAAAAATAGATATTCCTCCTAATAAATATTTTACCTACTGTCTTTAGGATATAAAACTCCCCTGACTGAAGTGTTAAAACAAACCTCATTGTTAGTCCCTAAATGCTTAAAACAACCGTGGTTATGGCTTTACAAATAATGCCTCGCTGTCTGATGAGTGTCTGTGTTTGGGAAGGTATGTGTTTGCATGCACACGCAAACACCTACTCCTGAAGCCTTAAAAATAGTAGCCTTGAAGCTAAGGATACAGGTCTTTGAATCAGACTGGTTTGTTTGGTGGCCTGCAAATTTGGAAGAATAGAAATTAAAGATAGAAATCTCACTCGATATTTATGAGTAACGCTCGCTTTCCGTATCTTTCTTCCTGCCTGAGAGTGGAATTGGAATTAGCTGCCTGAATAAGGCAAAACAATGAGCCCCGGTAAAGAGGGAGATAGGAGGGTTTTTCATTAAGAGGAGGGCAGGCGGGGGGATCCGTCCAAGTGCGTCTCGGGGAGAGGCTTCACCCTCCGGGATGTCACAGCTCTTGCGTTCCCAAGCGGCAATCTCCATGCCTGGAAAGGGGCGTTTTGCAAACGCTGCTGGATGGAGGGCAGATTTGCTAAGCTAAAGCCCATCTTTGTTAAATGCAAGCGCGATGTGAAAGGCGCAGGGCTGGCACGAGGAAGATCCCGTTTTACGGGCAAAGCCGCGGCGCCGGCGCCAAGCATGGTGGTGTTGGCACTGCTCCCCGCTCTCGCACCAAGAGCTTCCTTCTTGTGGAAGCTCATCCATTAGCAAACAGCAAAATGGGGTTTAGAGTGAGCCGAGTGTGTGAGGAACGCAGCGCCCCGGGGCCCGCTGTCTACCTGGAAGGAGGCATCGAGCAGGGCGTTCTGGAGGGCTTTCCGGGCCGGGAGCTGCCCTGGGAATTCCCGTTGGTGATGTGGGATGATGGATGAGGAAGGAGGCTTGTCATTTTCCAATCCAAGCTGAGTGTGCCTCAAGCATGGAAGGGGCTGGAACTGGGATGCAGAATGGTCTGGGCAAACTGGAGGCATGTAGAAAAGTGGCTTAATTTCCCTATGGAGATACACAACCTTCCACAGGCAGGGTTTGGGTGGGATGAATAAACAGCACCAGGAAAGACAGTCAGGAAGAGAAGAGTCAGAAGAGAAGAAGAGAGAACGCATCTGCATGGCAATTCCAGGAAAAGGGATCTGGGGATTACTATGGATCACAAGAAAACACGAGTCAACAGTAGTTTCTTGTTTCAAAGAGAGCAACCACCACACCGGGAGGTTTCAGCGTCATCCTCTGCCCCACCAGCACTCGCGTCCGTGCGGACAGCAGTGCCCAGCCTGGGAAAGGGCACCTCCGGAAAGGGGGGAAAGAGAGGGGACCCTCCGGAAGGGTCCAGCGCGGAGCGGCACCACGAGGGGCTGGAAACGCTCCATGGCTCCGTGCGTGCGGAGCGCCACCGGCAGCCGCGGCCTCCTGGGGTTTCCGCAGGCTCCGGGACGGGCTCCTAAAGCCCCGCCGGGATTAGCGGTGCCGCCGCGCGGCGCCCGGCCCATCTGTCCGCGCCGGCGCCGCAGCTGGGCCGGATTATGGCGGGATTAGCGGCGCCGGGTGCCGGGCCCAGGTAGCGTGCGGCTGTTCATGTGGTTCTGAGCAACCTAAAACACCCGTAAAACCACGAACCGGGTCACGCTGTAAACAACCGGAGCAAAAGGTGCCCCCGGGCCCGAGCCCCCCGAGCCTGCTCAGCCGCACGGAGCCGGGAAGCGGCCCTGCCCTCGGGGTGTTTCAGAGTGGGCTGAAACACACCGCAAATGTTGCCCAGGGAAAATGGAGCGCAGACGCTGTGATTTGTGCTTCAAAATGATTTCTGTGCACATTTAATATCCAAACAGGGATGCCGTCTGCCTGACAGCAAAGAGGATATATCCCTAAAACAGCAACATGTCCTTATCCTCATACAGAGGGACCGAAGCCAGGGTAGTAACATCCCCGTCATCGTCCCATTTCATCGATCCTCGGCTTTTTTGTCCCAACGTGAGTGACGACATGACTGACATAACGCCCAGGAGAGCTGAATCAGATTAGTCACCAGGCCTGCGCGAGGAGAGCGCGTGTTCGGGCACCGCACGCCGCTCTGCTGATGCCAGTCGGGACCAAGGCCCGGAAATCACGGGTTTATCCCCCAAAAAAGCGCCAGGCCCGGGCGCGGGCGGTTGCCATGGTGACGGCGGGCGGGCGGCGCGGCTTGTCCCACGCGGCGCCCCGTAGCGCGGTGCACTGTGGGCCGCAGGGAAGATGGCCGCCTCCTTGACGCGCCGCTGAGGGGACTCGGGCCGCAGGACGAGCCGCCGC